TGAAAACTGATATTTATATCCATAGAAATATACATCTCATAGTGAAACTCTTTTCCTGAATCATTTCAGACCAGCCGGAAAAACCATACACTCACTCGCACACACACAAACTGTCATATGTCATAGCATTTTGCAAAGGTTAGGTGCACGGCATTAATCTTTGAAAACGAAGAATTGCAAAGCTGCCTCTCCTGACTCTTCTGTTCCTTTGAAAGATTTTAACACAAAGGCTAAAATAGAATTACAGAATTGTTTAGTTAGTGTTGGTTTTAATAAGGAAATTTTACTTTAGCTAAGGAAAGGTCAGAGGTAACACATTCAGTGGAACACTCTCTGGGGCAGGGGTCTCCAACCTTGGCAACTTTAAGACTGGTGGACTTCAACTCCCAGAATTCCTCAGCCAGCTTTGCTTCTGGGAGTTGAAATCCACAAGTCTTAAAGTTGCCAAGGTTAGAGATCCCTGCTCTGGGGCACATTGTTTGGAGTATTTCTAGATGCAATTGCCTTTCAGAATAAGTACTTTAATAAAACAGTGCAATATCCACTGTGTATTTAATGCAGTGAAATGTCTTATACCAGTTATAGGGCTAAAAGTATAGGTTAAATGTGAAAGGTCCCATATGTTTCATCATTTTTGAGTCTATCGTGGATGCATGCCACAAGCCATCCTACAATATTGCTACTGTAGTAAAATTTGGAAATTACACTACCATTTCAGAGTTAATGTTATGAGTTTCATTTTGTTTTTGCTTTTTAAGTTTGGCAACTGCATCTGCAGGAATGCTTGTTTTCAATAACATTTATGTAATGTACAAGCCATGAACCTCAATATTAGGGGTGCAATGGTTACTTTAAGCTCAGTAGAGATTGTGTTGGCCAAGTATGTTGATTTAAAAATAAACGTGATGTCTTGCGGCTCCCCAGTTGAAAAATAGGGGAATGAATTTCCTTTCTGTAGTTACTTCTTATCCACTTCTCAACTGAGGCCAAAGAGCTTCTACTTCTTAAAAACATTAATTCTGTAATTAATGGAAATCATGGCCATCCCAAAAATAACGTAAAGGAATATATGAAAAAAGTGAAATATTAAGGAAGAAATCACTTCAGAAAAATGAGTTGGGGATTAGTGGAACACTGAGAGGAAGTGGTAGGCCAAAACAGTCTTTCCCTAACTGTTACCCTCCATAATTACTCAGCTGGATTTCCAATTTATTTAGAGAGCACTTGAAGAGGAAAGTTGTCTCTGTGATCATAGAATAGAATAGAATAGAATAGAATAGAATAGAATAGAATAGAATGAACAGAACAGAACAGAAATAGAATAGAATAGAATAGAATAGAATAGAATAGAATAGAATAGAATAGAATAGAATTTTTTATTGGCCAAGTGTGATTGGACACACAAGGAATTTGTCTTAGTGCATATGCTCTCAGTGTACATAAAAGAAAAGATACATTCGTCAAGAATCATAAGGTACAACACTTAATGATGTTAGCTGTCCATTTTAGATCTTGCGATATGGTAGAACCTAGAAATTTGAAGGTCTCTACTGTTGATACTGTGTTGTCTAGTATTGTAAGAGGTGGAAATATGGAAGGGTTTCTCCTAAAGTCTACCACAATTTCTACAGTTTTGAGTGTGTTAAGTTCCAGATTGGAATTACAGGGAAGTAAAAAGGAAGTACTTCATGTGAGGAATTTCTCACTGCTATCCAAAATGGCTGGTTTTAAAGAAATAATAATAATGCAGAAAGCTTTATACTTTGCATATTTCTTAAAAGTAAATTGTATTATTGCAGTGTACATTCCTAGGCTTCAATCCTATGAACGCTCATGTCAGAGAAAGTCACACTGAAACTGACTTAAGAGCTGGAGTGGTTGTGTGTCTGTGTCTGTGTGTCTGTGTGTTCCATATTGCTAGAGAAACTTAGAGCAGATGAAATTTGAATCAATCATCCCCACCCTCCTCTAATTCTGTTTTTGATTTTGTATTTAGGGGACTTGGGAATCACAATCAAATCTCTGGCATGGGAAAGTGTACCATTTCCTTACGTGCACCCTTTTTGCCATATTAGTATATTAGTATAATATTCAAATTAGTGTAATTATAATTAGTATAATTCAAATTAGTATAATGTCACTGATCGCTATTCTACAATGAAGTGTGGAATTGAAATAGGAAACCAGGGAGAAAATAAACATTTTTGGGCAGCAGTTGTCAAAATCACTTGATGAAATAAAGAGATGTTTTTGTGAACAAAGCACTCAGGAACTGGGATTGGTAATGCTGAGAAAAAGATCGGAGGGCAGATAGCTAGGGAATTGATCCTTCTGTTCATTCAACTAAGTAGAAGTGCATTTTCCTATTTCAGTGAGTGAATGTTATTTGTAATTTCCTGGATGGCTTTGAAGTAGCCTTTCCCAAATTGCTATCCACTGAATGTAATTTCCATGATCTTAGCCATGATCTTCCATGATCTAATGCATCTAATGCATATTTCATTATCACAATGAATGGGAATAATAGGAATTGTAACCTAAAACATCTGGACTAGGAAAGGATGGTGTAAAAATCCTGATCCTAATTTTCTATACACCCAAGGTTTAATAATTTTATTCACTAGCTTTAAGTAAGAAACATGGTTGCAAAAAAAGACTAATAATTATTCTGTGCAGAACACTTCTAGTTCTGAAAGCTACTTCACACATTTGATGAAATGAGCTGCAGCTCATGAAAACTTATGCCTTATAATAAAATGTGTTAGTGCTAAATGTGCTATCAGACTCTCTGGTTCTTTCATTTCTGGTTTCTATATTGCTGTAATCCCAGTCTATACAATTCACATATAAACTAGAAGTAATATGAGTGACACAGATTCAGTAGAGCACAGAATTTTGCTATAGATTTCATAGAATATTATAGGTATATTGTATCATCATTATCATCACCATCATCCGTTTCATCTATAAAGTCAAGGTAATATACATACCACTTCTTTTCCAGATTTATTACAAGGTTAGCTATCAGAGAATGACTACCTCACGTCATTGGTGAAATCTGAACCAGTTTGCCACCAGTTCACTGGCCACGCATATGTGCTGCGCACCAAATGTGCGCTGCATGTGTGCATGCACAGTGCATGCTAAACATGTGCTGTGTGCATGTGCATGCACGCTGTGCACCAAATGCATGCTGTGCACACGCGCCAAAATGAGGCTTGGGAAGGTAAGTAGAGCAGCAGGATCAGCTGTGCCACATGATTTAGATTTTAAATCGCATGGCACAGCTGATAGTTGGAAATACCGGTTCAGAGGAACCAGTAGCTTTTTTTTTTTTTACTACCGGTTCGCCCAAACTAGTAGTTTTTATCACTACCAGTTCGCCCAAACTGGTGCGAACCGGTAGCATTTCTCCACTTCCTCACATTCATCCAGTAAACCTTGATAGTTAAGGACATTTAACAACTATGTTACACTGGCTATCATGCTGTAGTTCACAAATAAAACAAATTCCCATTGAATAAAACAACTTCCTATGGACCCTACATTATCGCTTTCTATAATATCTATGTGGACTAAGTGTATGGTCTTGGTAATTTCTAGATTAGGTTAAATACCAGAAAGCCCTATTGTGCCGTGTAACACAAGCCATATTTTTTAAATGTTTCCTCAGCTTAATTTTGCATCCCCTTTCTGGGTTACTGTCTTTCTTTTTTTTGGTTGCTACATTTTAACAGGTCATGGCTTACTGCTGCCTAATTCATGCATGTTGATATTCCTTCTAGTAATTTGTTAGACCACCTGAGAAATTACAGGTACTCCTCGATTTACAACCACAATTGAGCCCAAAATTTATGTTGCTAAGTGAGAAATTTCTTGAGTGAATTTTCCTCCATTTTACGAATTTTCTTGCCACATTTGTTAAGTGAATCACTGCAATAGTTAAGTTAGTTAAGTGAATCTGGCTTCTCCCTTGACTTTGCTTGTCAGAAGGTTGCAAAAAGGGATCACATGACTCTGCAACCATCATAAATATGAACCAGTTGTCAAGCATCCGAATATAAATCACATGACCATGGGAATGCTAAAGTGCTCATAAGTGTGAAAAATGGTGTTAAGTCATTTTTTTCAGTGCTGTTGTAACTTTATTTATTTATTTATTTATTTTGTCGCATTTCTATGCCGCCCAACTCCCAAGGGACTCTTTGAATGGTCACTAAATGAACTATTGTAAGGCGAGGACTACCTGTAATGAAGAATGATTATGATAATAGGGTTAATTATGTTGCTAGTAGATGAAAGCCAGAAGAAAGCATGGAGAAAATCAGAGTGGGGTTAGTAAAAAGATGAAATTAGTCTTTCTATCCTTCAAAATGGAAATGCATAAACCTGATGCTTTCCGAGTGTTTTAAGATTTGCCATTCTATCATTATGAAGTTTTGTAGCCATACTAACATATAAAAAGAAATCCAGTGATTACAAATATACTTCAAATATTGCTACAAAACAGTGTTGTGGAATTTGAACAAGCAATGACCATATCATAAAGTAACAATGGAAATATTTTGAATTATATCATGAAATCATCATAAATGATCACTGGGGCAAAAATAGCAAATCCAACCTCTACTTCAAAATTAGAGGAACTTCCACAGTTCTCAGTTGCCTTCAAGTACTGAGCAATTAAATCATTTTTTTAAAATGAATAAATTACCAGATTAATAGACACTGCAGTGCTGGAGTGAAAGACCACACAAATTAGAAAGGAGATTAATTAGAAAAGGGAAGAAAGGAGGGGAAAATATCAACATTCATTACATGCTGGAGAGATGGTAGCCTTAGAGGTTTACATTCATGTACACTTTGAAGAAGATATTTGAAAAGCTCCAAATGCCTTTTTTTAAAAACGCAGGTGCTCCCATTTCCTGTATCCCATGCAGAAAAGTATGTGACATTTCCTAAATGCATTTGATGTCTTGGCTTCTTTCTTTTGCCTATAGCCAGAGGAGCTGACAAATATTTTGGAAATTTGCAATGTTGTGTTTACCAGCATGTTTGCCCTGGAGATGATTTTGAAACTTGCCGCTTTTGGTCTCTTTGATTACCTTCGCAACCCATACAACATTTTTGACAGTATCATTGTCATCATCAGGTAATGACAATTCAAATCTCTATTGAATCGATAATGAAATGTTGCATAACAGCAGTGGATGATGATAGCTAGCTTCTTGCCATCCAAATTAGAGTAGATCAAAACTAAGTTGTATCTACTAATTTTTAAGTATATGTGTGCCCACATTGTTATAATTCATATTATTTTTAAACAAATCCATTTTGCCCAAGGGTGAGGATTGGGATTAGTAGTGATGAATTATGTTTACATCATTATTTTGAACTAGCCTTTTAAATTAATACAGTATAATTACCCAAATTTATGTGCAGAGTTAGGCAACCTGAAGATTTGATTATATTTCAAATTTTGCCACCAGATTATCAGTGATATTCAGGTTAGTCTATGTTTACTTATTATTAGATTTTTTTTAATACTGCCTTTACTATTTTTTTATAAATAAGGTGGTAAACATACCTAATACTTCCTCCTCCTCCTATTTTCCTCAGAACAGCAATCCTGTGAGGAGAGTTGGGCTGAGAGAGAGTGACTGGCCTAAGTCATTCAACCAGATATTTGCTCTATAAATGAATGCTGCCAAATGTGAAAGCAGGAATATCATGTTAAATCCTTACTAAATATTTTTCCAGTTTTATAGTGCTATATTACAGGATCAGCATAAGACATAATTTGTGCAAAACTATAAATATAACTAGATTAGTCCTTGTTTAATGACGATAATTGGGACCAGCAACTCTGTTGCTAAGCAACAGATTTGTTAGGCGAGACATTACATGACTGAGACTCGTGATTTTACTGCCAGCTTCTCTATTGATCCTACTTGGGACACTGCAACCTCAGTAAATGCTCACTGACTGCAAAGCACACAAATCTCAGTCATGTAACTGTGAGGACACTGTGAGGGCCACAAGCGCTAGAACCTGTCAAAAAGTTGTTTTTCAAGACCTTTGTAACTTTGAACAGTTGCTAAAGAGGGCCTTTATTAAAGTGAGATTTACCTGTAAAGTAAAATGTTATTCCTAGATATGACATTCAGTTTCTATCTCTTCTTTCTATATTCAGAATTCCTGTCTTTAGAAACCTACAAAACTGCCTTAATCTATGGTTAAACAATGGCATTTCCTCTGCATGTAGCCACAGCCATCTGTTTGAATATATTTAAAAAGAATTAGATGAATTGTTTGTGTCTCTAGAGATATAGAGGCTACTTTGCTTGATGGAAATGGCAGTCTTAATTATTGATCAGACACGTACCTACATAGAAGAATCAATTGCGTGGCGTGGCAGGAAAGGACTTTGGAGATTATTTGATTCATTCTGCTGCTCAGTGCAGGAATCTTTTCTATAGCATCCCTGATAGATGGCTGGCCAGCCTCACTTTCACCACTTCCAATTAAAGAGTGTCCAGCGTCTTCCCCCAGGCAGTCTTATCCATTGTTGAAAAACTCTTACCGTTAGGAAACTTCTCCTGATATCCCACAGAAATCCATTTCCCCATAATTTAATTTCCACATTTTAAACCCATTGTGGTGTCTTCTGGAACAACTCTGAAAAATTCTGCCCTGTCTTCTACATGACAGCCCTTCTGATGCTTGAAGACAGTTATCATGTCTCTGTAGACTCCTCTTCCATACTCAATGCCTCCAACCATTTGTCTTACTTTTTTTTTCTTTCAGGACCCTAATTAACTTGGCTGCTTTCTCTGGACATGTTCCATTTGTCAATGTATTTTCTAAAATGCTGTGCTCAGAATTGAATGTATTGTGGTCCAATCAAAGCAGAATAGAGAGGAATAACTTCCCTTGATCTTGACACTATACTGAGCAATGGACACATTTGCCTCTAGCCTCTTTACCTTCTCTTACAGCAAGGCTGTGAGCCTGCACTTGCAGCATGTTTAATTATTGTCATCTTTAGGGAAAGAAACAAACATGGCACAGCCCCTGCAGGTCACAAGAACAGTTCATATTCTTTATATGAACAATAAATAAAGCAAAAATAAATGCCTCTTCTTTAAGTTCATCCACAGCTCCCTGTTTGTTTATTCAGTTTTTTTCTCTTTGAACTGCTTCCTTATATTTTTCCTGAAGTTGCTTCAAATAGGATGGCAACAAATGATGCTCCAGTGGGCAATCAGTAGTGCAATGTGCATCATTCAGGGAACAGTAATCTGTGTTCTCCCTAATTCATCTTCCCTTTGATCCTCTTTCTCTTTTATTCTTCCCTGCCAAAATCCTTTGCTGTTACTCTTTGCTCAATTAATGAATTTGTTTGTTCACCCTCTTCACTTCCTCAGATATAGCTATATCTATAGATACACACCCACATGCATACATACACAGAAAAACAGCCCCCACCACCACATAAATATATTGTTAGACAAAACCACACACAAACACACAATTTATTCAAAAGTATATTTACACAATATATTTTGATCACAAATGCTTAAGTCAAATATTGTTTTAGTTGTATCAGATTGGACCTTCCACGTCTTCTGGATTTCTCACCTTCCATAATATCAGTGGCCTTTCTAGCTAGGGTTTATAGAAGGTCAAGGAAGCCTTTGGATTATACCAGAAACAATTGAATTATAGTTACCAGTGCATCTGATGGAGAAATCTCTTATCCTCACAAATGTCCTCATACATAGAGTCTGCTTAGAACCTAAACCTAGTGAAAGAGGACTGAATGAAATGGGTTGTTTATTGAATCCCTTTTATTATTTTTCCAATCTCATTATGGTCTTAGCAGTTTCTCTCTCACTTTTGTGTGTCCCCTTCTGATTGCTTTTATCTGCAGCATCTGGGAGATCATAGGTCAGGCTGATGGTGGCCTCTCAGTGCTGAGGACATTCCGGCTTTTGAGGGTGCTGAAGTTGGTGAGATTCATGCCTGCCTTGAGGCGTCAACTTGTGGTGCTGATGAAGACAATGGATAATGTAGCAACCTTCTGCATGCTCCTCATGCTCTTTATCTTTATCTTCAGGTAGGAAGATGAAATGCATGCTAAAGACAGTAGGGCCTGTATAGGATGTGGTTTGCTTTTCTTAATGGAAGCAGAAAGATACCAAGGAACTAATAAGTGAACATGGAAGATTAATATAGGGTGGGGTCCTTTTCTAGCTTAAATACTGAGAAAGGAAAATATCAATACAGGCAAATTAAATATCTGAGCCTAAACCTGATTTCCCCATCTTGAATGCTTTCCAGATGTACAGACTCAAAAGTCCCAGAATTTTCAACAATAGTTATGCTGGCTGGAAATAGAGAGAATTCAACCTTATATATCCAGGAGTGCTCTAAGCCATCAGAGCAGTTTTAAACTGTAGTGGGCTGATACCAGCTGCATCACTGATACATGTAGTTAGTGCATTTATTTATTTATCTTCTAGAGGCTGGAAGATGTACAACAAAACAAAAACTCAAGGAAATAATAAAAATAAAATAAAACCCTTACAGTCACATAAGGTTAAGGGCTACATGGAACAAAACTTTATGAAAAGCAAGGAGGGGAAACATGTTCCAGAGCATTAGAGTATAGAGAAAGCCTGCTGCCTGATCCAAGTCCAATGAACTTACCATATAAGGAGACACTAATCGGGTTCTTTCAAGATGACCAGACTGGATGAACAAAATCCATTTTGGCAAAGCAATATCCTATACATTCAGATGCTAAACTGTGCACCAATAAGTTGTGCTGGCTACAGCCTATCTACTGCCTTCTAGACCAGCTGTAGCTTTCACCCATGTAGAGGTCCAGGACATCAATGTAGTTTGCAAAAGAAGGATTTTGACTATCAATCAGATATTAACTCCTTCAACCTTACATCAAAAGAAAGGGAAGTTAATTAAAGCTAAAACCAGTATTCCTAATCTGCTTTTCTGTAAATGTTCTAGACCAATGTCTAGATATTTTGAATTATAATCTCCATCATACCATACCGGTATGGTCATACTGGATCAATATATTAATTCTGGTTAGGGATGCTAAGAGGTGGAATCTGAAATATTTTGACATTCTCAGAGAGGAGATGCTGAGTAATATTGTATTAATGTCCACTAGCTAGTTACCTTTAGTGCCTTCTGTTCAAGAACAATGACATATTTCAGTATTTTTTCAGCTTAGCCAAATTTCTTTGCCTTTAAATTAAAAAAAATGCAATAAGCTAGAAGTTTAATAAATGAATAGTTAAAATGAAAAAAATCAAAATAAATCTTACAATACTTCAAGGTAATCAATAAGTTTTGCTTTTGTATTGTTTTTACTACTAATGGTGCATTGAGAAATGAAGTTGATGGGTTTTTTTCGGGATATATCTGAGGAGGCTAACCAACACCATCAGTTATGAACACTAGAGTTTCCATTTTGATCCCATTTCATAGGGTTGTTTTACATTTGGGGAAACTCATAAAGATTTCCGTACATGTTTTGAAAGGGAATAATAGAGTGTAAATAATTTAGATAATCATTACTTAAGAATTTGAAAACAAGCAGACATTGACAGCTTGCCTTCAAAAGTTGTGAGTGCTCCATCACTGGAGGCTTTTAAGAAGAGACTGCACAACCATTTGTCTCCTGCTTGAGCAGGGGTTTGGACTTGAAGACCTCTAAGATCCCTTCTACCTGTGATGTTCCATGTTGTTTTAAAAACCATAAAACTTTTTTCTTCCCTACAGCATCCTTGGAATGCACATCTTTGGTTGTAAATTTAGTCTTAGAACTGACACAGGAGACACAGTCCCTGACCGGAAAAACTTTGACTCCTTACTTTGGGCCATTGTCACTGTATTCCAGGTGAGTCCAAAGTAGGGCAAGGAACAAAGAGGGGATAGAATTTAAACTTTCAATCTTCTTATCATAGAACCGTATTCCATTGTGTTTCCATAAAAGAGAGCTGATATAGACTGGTAATACTTTCTCTTGAAATTTACTGACTTTCACAAGCAGAACTGCCCTTCCTATTGTATCTTTCAAACTGCAGTAATCTGTGGGTATCACTCCTTTCCAGAGATTGCCACTGATGATGGCCTAGTACAATATAGCTAGAGGCATATGCTCATAGAAATCATGTCATGATTGCACCCTTTCCCGTGTTATGCAAAAAATTAGAATAGAAATATTAGAAACTTTTCCTGTTGGCAAATTATTTTGATAGTATATCTTGTTTTTTTAATCTATTTATGTACTGGAAATACATATCCCATATTTCTGCCATTTGTTCTGGACTTAACTATATAATCTTAAACTTTACCACTCAGATCTTGACACAGGAGGATTGGAATGTTGTACTTTATAATGGCATGGCCTCAACCTCTCCATGGGCATCACTTTATTTTGTTGCTCTCATGACCTTTGGAAATTATGTTCTCTTCAACCTACTGGTGGCGATCCTAGTGGAGGGATTCCAGGCAGAGGTGAGTTGCTACAGCAATTGCTTTCAGGAAGGTCAGTTGCAAATAAGGAAGAGATTCAGAATCAGATTTCCAATGACTTATAGACATTGTTTTGAACAACAGTTGTTATCACTCCCACCAATACATACAGTTTCCATGAGGTGGAGCTATTGGGAGTTGAATTCTGACACATTGGATACAGTAAATACAGAGTGGAGGCACATTGTTTTAAATCATGTTTTGTTGTTAGTGATCGTGGAAAAGTATGACTACCAATTCATGAGTATATGACATCTAAGGATAGAAAAGACATGCATTTGGAATACAATTTAATGAACTCAATTTATTTTCTTGAAAAATGTGCTCAAATCAGAAATACATACAAAAACATTACTATTTATTGAATCAACTTATATGGCTGTTCATTCCTCAGAGTGACTAGTCAACAAAAAACAAAACAAAGCAAAGAGAAACCATATGGTCTGACTGTGAAAACCTAGGAATACTACCTCCCAAGATGGGCACATTCAAATATCCAGGGAGGGGGGAGGAATAAGGTTCCTAATGCCTTACAAAAACTAGAAGGGTCATAATAAATTGCATCTGGAGGTGAAGGGACATTCATGGAGGTAGATGATACCAGGGAAAAGGCACACTTTGTAGGCCCAGCCTGATGACATTGGCACAGAGAAGAGACCTATAGCAGGCCCAACGTGAAGGAGCATGTGGGATTATAGTGCCTTCCAAATGTTTATATTAGTTGAACCCAGATTATAATATATACACATTCTCAAATGAACTTTAAAAAATACAGATGCTGTTTTAGTAAGCATTATAAAAAGAGAAAATCGAGCCATTCAGACATTCCTTCCCACCTAATAATATGAATGCTATTGTTTCTTTCATGCAGTGGTATATTATCCAGTTATTTCCATAAAGTATTTTTTTCACCTTTGCAATTCTCTGAAATCAAAGGGAAATCACTCTGTTGCTCTCATGGTGCTCACAATTCCCAGGTCTTTGCATTTATTTTCCCAATGCAGGGTGATGCTAACCGCTCATATTCAGATGAGGACCAGACTTCATCAAATATTGAAGAATTTGACAAGTTCCAGGATAGTTCAGGTATTAGCAGGAAATACACAATGTGTATGTCTATATAAAAACATATAACATCTTGGAAAGTATCCTCCCTCCCTCCCTCCCTCCCTTCCTTCCTTCCTTCCTTCCTTCCTTCCTTCCTTCCTTCCTTCCTTCCTTCCTTCCTAAGCTTCCTTCCTTCGTTTTGCTCCAAGATATGCTCTGGATCCACAGAGAGGAATCCTTCAATCCATTTACATTTCCAGTTCACAAACTTTTCTAAGGAGTATTTGCTGCATTACAGTGCAGAAATTCAGATGCCCTTTCTTCTATTCAAGATGCATAATTTAATTCAGAATGTAACGGAGGCTTAGGCAATCCTGATAAAATTAAAATAGTTTCATTGGAACAACAATAATGATGATAAAAGTGTTCAAATCAATTTCTCAGTTGAGTTTCAATCAGACCCCTAGTGCTCAAACTGCACAAAAAATAGTTAACTTTCAAAACCATAACAAAATATCTAGTGGCTACTGATTTAGCAACACCGAATTTTGGATGAATTAAATCAGTAAAAGCCAAGATGAAAGAAATTGATCAATACATTTGGGAGAGCAATCTGAACCTAGAATTACATGAGGCTTGTCAGATCTCCATTTTGCTGCCCTTGGAGCCATGATTACTGAAAAGCAGCGGTACAATTTTCTGACATTTTGAAATGGATGAAAACTGTTGTATAAGCTCTAAAAGAAGTATGTCACAAAAACAAAATAAAAGCCCAGGCCCATGCAAGTGATATGATTTTGCACACTTTGCAAGCTTGAGCCACCTTAAAAGCATCAAGCATGACCCTTGGCTGCAAAAGGTTTCTTGCCAAAGTTAACAATTCAGAATAGTTTAAAAAAGCAGGAGAAAGCCCAATTATATAGATTATAAAGCTAAGTCAACTTGCAGGAACAATCTATGTTGGAAGGAGTTCAAAAGATCTAAGAAAGATGAGTCCAAGCAATCACTTTTGGAAACAAAGGTTGAAAAGGAAATCAGAACTTCAGCATTTGAAGACCAAACACGAATGAGAAATTGTATTTTGCAATATTTTTCTGAGTAATGTTGTATGTTTTCTTCACTCCAATTTCACACCATACATGCCAATGGCTATAAAAGTCCATTTCCCCCATTTTCAATCAAAAGAAGGACCAAGAATATAATAATATAATATATAATAATAATATTATTAGAAAGAAAGGGTCAGCGTATGGGGGGTGGAGCAAAGGGATGGTAAAGTATTATATAATCTGTTATGAATTTGGATTTTATTTTGGAGAAGCCACAGGGGGAGGGGAGGGGGAGGGGGGTTAGGGAGGAGGGGGGAAAAAGGGGGGGGAAAATTTGTATTTGAAAAACTTTTTCAATTAAAAAAAAAAAAAGAAGGACCAAGAATGATATCCAGCGCCACAAATTACTCCTGGTCTTTAGTTTTCTTTTCTAGCCCAGTATTTCTCATTTTTGTTTACCTAAAATTGCAGTACATATACAGAATCTGATGCTAGCTAGGAACGACGACAATTATAGTCTCCAACTCATCTGAAGAATGAAAAATACATTACACCATTCCAATTAATCTTTACTGCTTACTTTTACTAAATTTGGGATTTGGGATGAAATGTGCAAATAAAATGATGACACAAATTTCATCCCTTGCATACTTGCGATGCAGGAGTAAAAGTGGTGGTGCTTGCTTTGTGATTTCATGACATACATTTTGTCATTCTGGTATCATTGTGGTTAGCTGCAGACACCTGTTCATTCAGCACAAGTTTACTTCTGAACTGTTTCCACTGGACTACCTTTGCCTACTCTAGTAGTTCTCATTCTGTTACAGTGAAAGAAACTTGTGGTGGTAAATGTTAAGCAAATGTTAAAAGGATAAGGTTTTTTTCCCCCACTTTAATGGAGCAGAGTTTCATCAAATATTTCCAAGCTTCTGTAAGCATAGCATTAAAAACATTGTTAGAATAGGAACATGAAGAAAGAGGGGGAAAGGATTAATTTATTTCCATATTGTTCCTTGTTTTCTACAGGCATAACTACAGGATTAGAATATACGTATGTTGAACTGTTTATTTTACAGCACAAATTACTTTAAAAAATATCTTCCCTGGGTATTCTCTCTCTTTCTCCCTGTGTTTTGTCTGTTTTGTTTTTATTTTTTCTCAGATCCAAAGCTTTGTGCAATTCCCATGACTCCAAATGGACATCTTGACCCCAACCTTCCTTGTCTAAACCAGCCTGGGGCAACTGCTGGAATGATGAATCCATCCCGCAATACTCTGCAGTCAGATATCCTCATGGCCCTGGAATCTCGGAAAAGCAGCGTGATGTCTTTAGTAAATGAATTTAAATCCATCCGCAACACACTTAACGTTAACAGTCATATATTAGGATCATCTTCCAACTCCAATATCTGAGAATTTGGCCTTTAATTAGTGGAATTGTTATGTGAACTTTTCCACTTATATGTTCTGCAATCAGTATGCTTGATTGATATCTATGCACTTTCCCTCTTCCCTCTTCATTTAACATGGTAGAAAAGGGGATAATTGATTATTTTGCCCTATATTGAAAGGAATAGGATTATACAAAATAGCTAAGAATTGATACCGAAGCTCTGCTGAATAGTAGTTAACACTGGCTGTGATGTACTAAAAATAAGAACTAGGCCAATGCAATTAAAAGTATATCTAGTGTAAGTGTTTACTTTCCTAATTTACAAATAAACTAGCTTGATGTGCTGAAAGGACAGTCGTTGACTCTGCAGATGATTGTATCATACTTTCTTTCGTTATGACCATCAACTAGGATGATAATTTGGGAGTCCAACATAGTCTGGGGGAGTTAGAGATTTCCCACCCATACTGGACACAGCCCTAGACTTGGAGAGGAAGAACAAAGTTCTTGGCAAAAAGTGTTCTTGAATGATAATAGTCATCATATTAAAGAAGACATTTACTTGAATAGGATTCACAAAAGGAGAGCACATCTTTTTCAATTGTGATTGCCACCTAGAGAGACTAAGAGTCTGTCTTACCAAAGTGATGAAAGATGTCTTAAATCCACAACAGACATATAATATTTGGCAGAGGCTCAGGCAGATCCTTCATTAAATCATAGGGGTATAAGCAAGGAGAGCAGGTTCAGCAAAGCTAGGTTTGAAAAATTGTGTTACTATAGCTAATTTCAATAAAAAGTAGTTTTGGCCTTTCTGTGGAGTTGATTTCCTGGTCTGGCCTACCTAGTGGAACTGACACCACCTGGAGTCTTATAACTATTTCCATTAATATTACTTTTTTTAAAAAGGCTATATTGTAAATGTTTAATTAAGTGATTCATTGCATTAATTATGTGTAATTAAATGTTTTTAATTAAGTTTTCACTTAAAGAGCCAGTTTGATGTAGTGATTAAGGTGTTGGCCTAAAAACCAAGAAGCTGTAAGTTCTAATTCCACTTTAGACATGAAAAATGGGGAAAATAGGAGGAGGAAGGATTATTGTGGGTATTCATCACCATGAGTTATATATGAAAAAGGGCAGGATAAAAACAAAGAAAAGTGATGCATCAAAAAGGAGAACACTGAATGTTTGTAACACCCTCAGTTATTGAGTAATATGAAAAGAAACTGAAAAGTTTATCTCATTTTTCCATGATGTATTAGTCCACTTATCTATTTCCTTACTCTGTTTTTTTTAGAAAGGAACATTAGGTGGGACTTAAGTCTTACAAATGCAGTAATATAAAATGTATAACAAATAAATAAAAATATGCTGGTGGATGACTGAAACTATGTCAACCTCTTGTTTTGAGTGGGAGCACTAAATGGTTTTCTTTTGGCTTTCTTACAGTCTAGCTCCCGTAGCTCTCATCACCATGGGGCTCGGTATCATAGCGGAGGCTGGGGAAGCAGACGTTCCAGTTGGAACAACCTTGCTCGAGGACATAGCCTCAAACACAAGCCTTTTTCAGCTGAACATGAATCACTTTTATCTGGGGAGCGGCACATGATAACAGAGGCAGAACGAGAAAGGCCACTAATTCACCATCATCGACGGACATTTTCATTGGATACCAAAGATTCCTCTGAACTGGAATTGGCTCCAATAGTCTCATCCGGGAACAAGCCATCATGGAAGATAGGAGTGACTCTAGGGCCAAGCAAGCACCAGGACTGCAATGGTAAAATGCCCACAATCGCTAAGGATATCTTTCCAGAAATGAACAATCGGAAAGATCATGGAGAAGATGACGAAGAGATAGATTATGTAATTATTTATTTAATTATTTAATTATTTATTTATTTATTTATTTATTTATTTATTCATTCATTCATTCATTCATTCATTCATTCATTCATTCATTCATTTAAATGTATTGACCACATACCTTATCATAAGGTAACTGGGTGCTTTACAATATTAAAAAGATAAAACATTACAAAACCTATAAACAATAAAAAGATAAATACCCAACTTTAACTAAAAGATGGGGAGGGAGGGAGTCTTGTGAAAAGTCAGGAAGGTTGGAACCGACCTCATTCCTGGGAGCAAGATGATCCAAAGGGCAGGTGCTCTGGCAGAGAAGGCTCTTCTCCTGGACCTGCCAGCTGGAATACTTTGATCGATGGGGCCCGCAGCAGTATGCCTCTTCTGCTGGCCTGGGTAGGGTAGGCCAATCCCATTGGGATGAGATGGTTCTACAATATATTTTCTATCTTTACTAAAAAAAAATTGAAAAATGATAAAAAATTGTAGTAAATGAACAGATGAAACGCAACAAAATTTTAGTGTGATTCCTTCTACAGTGATCCCTGGAAGAAGATCTCACAGTAGCATCCCATTAAGGAGGAAAAGTAGATTAAGAGAGAATCCAAGCAGCTCAAGGGTCTCAAAGCAAATTATTTTACTGCAGTATTCTAGCTGTTATTCATTGTTCTTCCATTCCATTCCTATGTGATCAATAATTTCATGAGAGATCAGAACAATATTTCTTAATTCTCTGATTATGCATCATGGTCTTGTGGGTGTGAACTTTGTTATGTTTTTTAACATGCAGAAGTGATTATAGTGATTATAATTAATATCTATAACGTTAGATAGAGAACAACTAAAGATCAGTTCATGGGTGGTTTTCAGTTGGGCATAATAGATACAGAAGAAAGAGAAGCAAGTGCTGCTCAACAGCTTCTGATTTTCTGCTTCTGCCTCTACAGAGCCTGTGTTTCCGTATAAAGAAGATGATAGAGGCCTACAAGCCAGATTGGTGTGAGTTGCGGGAAGATTGGTCCATCTATTTATTCTCACCAGAAAACAAGTATGTTTCATTTACTTGTGTTTTAGGGAATGGAGATTCAAATATGGATTTATCACCCTGTCTTCAATTTTAGCATAGAAATTATTTAAAAAGACTTACTTTTCAATTGTACATTCAGATTATCATACTATACAATTAGGAGCAATAATGAAGCATTGCTCCTTTTTTCTTTCCCTCCCTTTTCCCCCTCTTCCTCCTTTGGTCTTGCTTTTGAATTTTGCTTTTCATATTTTCCAGGTGACTCTATACTGGCATTTTATCTTAAGACCAAGTGGTATAAAATATACATCAACATCCCATTCTCTTGATATTTTTTTTAACTTAGTGTTTTATACCTTTCCCATATTATTCTGGCTCAATTTCCCCAATGATTATAGTGTCAGCATATTCTCAAATCGTATGCATTTAGGTTTATCCACTTTGAAAACCAGTGAAGATTATTTAGAGCTGTAGAATCTACTTTGCAACATTTTCTCCCACTTTTGATCTCTGTCAGCATAACAGGTATGCAGGCAAGAAATTTGTTTTTTTCTGTGTTTTTAATCACACAGTATCTATTTTTAAACCTGCATTTCTGTCCTTATTAAGCAGATATGCATATACTTGCCATACTTAACAACAACACCATGACTGCCCACTTCATGGATAATCGCAGCAGTGTGTTGTGGCTTGTGGCATGTGCTTATGGAATAAATACAAAATCCTTAACCTTTCAAAATGTTCCTACATCTCCCAAATTACAAAGGTATGCATTGGTGTATCACATTATAAAAACTGCATTCATAAACACCTGGTTGCCATACAATAATTGCATTTGAGAAAATACAGTCTCCTGCAACATACCCTGAGCAAATAATATTGCATTTCAATAAAAAGTCTTACAGATACTAAGGAATCTATTCTTGCTTTTAAAATGCAAGTTGACTGATCAATTATGTACTGCCAAGTAAATGGAAGAAAATAACTACAGGTAGTCCTCAACTAACAACAGTTCATTTAGTGACCGTTCAAAATTACAAAAATTGACTTATGACCATTTTTCACTCTAACAACCATTGCAGCATCCCCGTGGTCACATGTGGATTCAGAAGTTTGGCAGCTGGTTCGTATTTATGACAGTTGCAGTGTCCTAGAGTTCCATGGTCATCTTTTTCGACCTTTTGACAAGCAAAGTCAATGGGGAAGCCAGAGTCACTTAACAACCATGTTGCTAACTGAACAACTGCAGTGATTCACTTAACAGCGGTGGCAAGAAATATCACAAATTGGGGCAAAATTCACTTAACAAATGTTAAGTGACATTTAGCCACAAAAATTTTGGGCTCAATTCTGGTGAATTGAGGACTGCATTGAGGAAGTTGAGGACTGCCCCTAACTCTCTATTTTTTAATTTTGGTTAACATCTAAAGTTTAATGTCATACCCTTTTCCATCCTGTTTGCCCTACTTCCTTTAAATCTTCCAGGTGTCTCTGTCAACCATTTATGCACAGCTTTTTTCTAGTCAAAAATTGAATATTTTTAGGTTATTGAGGATGAAGTGATGTTTGTAAGGATGAGATGATATCACCAGGAGGAGTTTGTTCAGTATAAAATAGTTGTATTAAACCTTTTGGGAATGAAACAAATGTCTGAAGAGGATGTGTTTTAAAACTTGTGGGTCTGCCACCAAATTTTGTTAATGTGAACTGGGATGCATGGGGAAGCCTGCTATGACCATGATATGTCCATTGTACATATATTCATAGATAACCTTTCATAGTTTAGAACCAACTGTTTTCCAGATTTCGCATTCTCTGCCAAACTATCATTGCTCATAAACTATTTGATTATATCGTCCTGGCCTTCATTTTCTTGAACTGTGTTACTATTGCCTTGGAGAGACCTGAGATTGAACAGAGGAGCACAGTGAGTAGCTTTGTATAATAATGAGTAGGGTAGAGTAATTTTAGGAGTTAGAAACTCATAAATGCTTTCTTCAGCCTCTAAATAGTACTGTATACAATAACTGGGTTTAATTCTAATAATTCACTTTATGCTGTTGGGAAATATCCAGAGACATTTGTTTCAGAGGGTAATAAAGATCATATGGATATAAATATTATTCAAGTGATAGAAGACTGTTCTTGCTTCTATTCATGCTTAATGACTGGACTCCCATAAAAACAGATCTGAAAGATGAGGCCCATCTCCTTGTGCATGCCTGTGTAGTGTGACCAAGAGAGTATAATAATACAGATAATATATTTGTATTTATATTTTTTAAGACATTTGTGCCCAAATAAGAAAAAAAAACTTTAGTTGCTGGTTGATACAAATGCATTTCTGCCTAAAAGGAATTTAATTGTATGATTACACAGGGAGAGAACAAAGCAAATTATTTAAAATACTGGGCTGGGAGATGCTTTTGAGGCAACATACCCCAAAACACTGTATTTTCAATCATAGCAATTCTTAACCTTAGCATAAGTACCATTTCCCCAAGCCTGTTACAATAATTTAAATGGAAAGATACTTATTATATCTATTTTGAGGCTGTCTTTGATTGTTCTAGGAGAGAATCTTCCTCACGGTGTCCAATTACATCTTCACAGCAATCTTTGTTGCTGAGATGACACTGAAGGTAAGTTACCCACTGCCAAGTCATTCTTGCTGTGCTGGCTCAACTAATATCTTAAGTGGAAAAGGAGTGCCATTTTCACAATTATTTTCACTGGATGGTGTCACAGAATTTTTCAGTGCTGTGAAAAGGGAAAACATTCTGTTGAGAAAGGATTACCTTCATTATGAATTGGCTTTGTTTGCATTCATTTCAACAGATAAAGAAATAGATTTAGTAGTTGTTTAACTACTATTATCAAGTTCAATAGATGATTCCCAATTAGCTAGAATTAATTTAGAAAGAAGCCCTTGGCAGAGGGAAAAAGCCAGATCTTTGGACGGAAAGAAGTTAAAATCTTGCACATTTCAATGATGCTTCTCCCCAATTATTTATTCCTCTTTGAATAAGAGAAAATCCATTTCAATCGAAAAATAAAAATGAATAAATATTTAGCATGGTCTTGGAGCTTCTTTTTTCAATTTCCTCCTACACACTGAATCTGTAAACATTTCATATCTACTCTTACTTATCTAAAATGTATAATCATCTTTATGAAGATGAAAAGTTGTGTACAATAAGAGGGAATAAGGTCATCAGCATCTTGAAGTTGGTTAATAACTTTATAGAAGATATTTCTTGGAGGAACTAGTCAAAGCTTCTAATTCTAATTCCTCTTTTCCTCAAAATTTATTCTGCTGAAAGAGATGAACAGCATGTTGGCGCAGTTGGTTATTGTGTTTACATTAATTCTTTACCTGTCATTATTACAATGGATTCCATGACCTAATGAATCCATTTTTGAGAAATTGGAAGTGTACCTCACTAGAGATGTGATTTGGCTTTACTGATTCATGGTTTCATTTCACATGCTCATACAGTCCTTAATCTTTTCTAGGTAGTATCTCTTGGTCTGTATTTTGGAGAACAGGCCTACCTACGCAGTAGTTGGAATATCTTGGATGGCTTTTTGGTGTTTGTATCCATTATTGATATCGTAGTTTCAGTAGCCTCTGCTGGAGGAGCCAAAATCCTAGGAGTGCTAAGAGTCCTCCGACTTCTGCGCACTTTACGCCCCCTAAGGTAAGATCCAAAAAAATAGACCTAACCTATATAATAACTTTGCATTGAAAATTTCAAAATACATTTTGTTTTCTCTCATGTGTTTGGCCAAATAAAAGAATTTAGTAAGGTAAAGCCTCTCTCAAATCAAACTCAGCTCCTAGTGTTTTCTTGGACGTACACAGGGTTTTCTTGCTAACAATAGAGAAATGAGTTACCATTGCCTTCTTCAGGGTTGTTTACCTCAACTCCTAATCTGGTCGATGGATTTTCTGATAATCCCCATCTCCATATTAGGCAAATTTGACTCTGCTTCAGATTTTTAGAGCAGCCAAGGTTGACTAGGTGTAAGGACTATGAAAAAAAAATCAGCCACTATTTGAAATTAAGGCAACAAAGTTTATTTATTCTATTAATTAATTAATTAAATGTGTATGCCACCTATCTCACCAGAAGTGACTCCAAACATTCAATTAAAATGCACTAAAACATTAAAGCAATAAATAAAGATCATAAATTTAAATTTCAATTGAAATAAAACTAACCAGGATGAGAGCCAAGTGCATACAGGGAGGAAGTGGGGTGTTATTTACTCCAAAATGCCACCTCCAAAATGCCATATGATCCCATTGGGGGCCCAGGCTTGATGGCACATCCATGTCTTCAAGATCTTTCAGAAAGCAAAAAGGGAGGATCTCCCCTCGGAGGGCAGGGTGTTCCAGAGGGTGGGAGTCACTGCAGAATAGGCTCTTCTTCTGGAGTCCACCAGCTGAAATTCTTTGCCTGATGGGCTCCACAGCATGACCGTACTGCCAGCGTGGGTGGGATGGGCTAATCCCATCAGAATTTAGTTTAAGGTAAATATCTTAAAAGAAAAAAAATATTACTACTCCTATGTTCATAAATATTGTCATTTGCAGAAATGCAAATTTTCAGTGATTGTGAATAGATTTAATTATTGTTCAGTTTGATGGGGGAGGGGGAGAGATTGCTTGGTAAAAATCAATTTCCAAAGGAAATTCCATGAAATTTGTGGATTCTCTTTAAAGCTGTTTATTTGTTAAAAATATTTGGAATACTGTGGATATAACTTTGAATTAGGAGGTTTCCAGTTTTCCCTAGGTAGATTGCTTGTCTGATTTTTTTTAAACACCTGGATGTATTATTATTATGAATAAACTCATTGATTAACTTTTACCACTTTATTACATGTTGCGTTTGGACATTTGCCCAGCAACATTTGAAATAAAGATAATAACTTAGAAAATATTGTCATTTTTATTGCTGGCCCCAAATATTTCCCAAGTTCATGTAATTCAATTACAATGTCAGATAGTGACGGGAAGAGAGGCCACCCTGCCTTATGCCCTTAACTAAATCAATCTTTTCTGACTTGACATTACTTGTATAAATTGTAGCTGTTACTTCTGCATGTATTTAATTAAGAATGGTGATCTTAACAGCTGGTGTAAGGAACAGCAATTTAAAGAATCGACTATTTTAAAAAATAGCCCTCAATTATCTTGAATCCTTCCTTTATAAAAGTGGATGTCAGCCTTTCCGGCATGGTGTCTTTGCATCTGACAGTATACAGTTGTGATGAAGGCTTTGATTCTTCTTAACATTAGAGCCAAGAGGGTTTTTGCATTCAACCATGCTTCTGACCACGTCTCTTAAACCCATGTTGTGTCTAAGGACAATTATTCTCAAATTTTTCAATATATTAATCAATTTGCTTCCATTTAAGAGGAAACATATGGGGACTGGGAGGGGTGTCTTCACTGAATTCTTTAAAATTCATTGGTAGAGCACTTTTCTCCAGGATTCTTGCCTACGTTTACTTATTTTTTATTTCTTTATATTCCCCCTCTGAATCTCAGTTATGTTCCTGTTATAGAAGTGTTGGTGTGATATTAAAAGAAATATTTCTATCTTATCATGGCATGTTATTTTAAGTTGCTGTAAAGAAACAGCTTTTTAAATAATTACGTTTTCCACTGTCTTTTGACACATCAGCATCCACAACAGGGGTCAATACAGGCAAGATACTAGATATGGTATCACGATCCAAGTATCACACATACAAACATAGAAGAGGTTAGGCTTGGATTGCAATGCTGCCATCGTACCTGTTTTGACCATAGAGATGAAGGTTTGAATTTTGTTCACCTCTGCTAGTCATCAATCATTATTCTCATTGTGTAATAGTGGTCTCTGAGCTGGTTGTTTTCCTACAGAGATTTCATTACCAGACTAGGTAAGATCATCTGTGGATGTGAGAGTGAAATTTTCTGTCTGTCTGTCTGTTTGTTTGTTTGTTTGTTTGTTTGTTTGTTTGTTTGTTTGTTTGTTTGTCCAATTTATATACCGCCCTTCTCCGTAGACTCAGGGCGGCTTACAATGCATTATAGCAATAGTCTGCATACTTTTTTGTATATACCTGCTTATTAGGGCTTTCGGCCCCCCCTAAGCGGTGTTGTTCTATACAAAGTTGGCTTATTGCCCCCACAATCCGGGTCCTCAATTTACCTACCTCGAAAGGATGGAAGGCTGAGTCAACCTTGAGCCTGGTGAGATTCGAACTTGCACTAATTGCAGGCAGCTGGCAGCTAAGTGCTAGCACTTAACAGCACTTTAGTCTGCTGCACCACCGAGGCTCTTAGTTTATACCGTATGCTTGCCTTGATAATCTTGGTTGCACTAATGATGTTACATAGCCTGATAACAAAATGTCTGTAAGAAAAAAGCCAAGCTTAGAGAACCAACCATTTAACACACAAGTATGGATATTATCTTTTGCCTTCAAAGTAATCAAAATTGATTGTTTTATTATTGATTTATTTATAACCTTTCAACCAGGGAGTGACTCCAATAAATGGCAAAAAGATGAAATGGTGCATCAGTGGGGTAATTAATAAAGAAATACAGCCCAGCACAAAAATAGGTAGCCCTGGGGAAAAGAATAGCAATTAAAAAATAGTATTCCTGCCAAGTTTCAAGCCAGAAGTATTTAGCATCTAAGGCAAAGCATTACACTCATTAAATAAGTAGACCTTTTGTAATGTACCCAGAAGCAACTATTATTCAGGAAAAGCAAGAAATGCATGGGTAGCAGGTATCCCTACCTCTACAAAGTAGCCAAAGTGTTGGCCTATTAAAAGCAATGCAGCAGGCAATCCATATAGCAATGCTTTGAGCCACCGGATGCAGGAAAACACTATAAGTAGTACTCAAGTTACAACAGCAATTGTTACCAACAATTCAGTCACTGAATGACATGGTCTAAGGCATGATGTCACATTATTGTATTGTTTAGGGACAGCCATTCCTGTAGTCCAAGTTGCTATGGTTAAACAAAGACCTCACATGATGGCAACATCTGACTTCTTGCAGGCTTCTCCCTTGATTTTGCTTATGGGAAGCTGTCAAGGAACATCAGATATCATGATCATATGACTGAGGGAAGCTGAAACTCCAAGTTCCCATTATAATTCCCTGTTATTTATGGTTATAGCATGAATTGTCATCACTCACGGATTATCTGTACTTGGAAAATGGACCAGAAAATTTATCCAGAAGTCATATTTCCTGTGGGCACACAAGACAATATCACCCATTTCTACTCCTCAAAAATCATTGCTGGTCAATATGGACCATAGGCAACCTGACTGTTCAGGTTAGCCCTTGGAGAAAAAATAGCTTTTAAAAGTAATTTCCTTCATAGACATTCAATCCTTTAGTTCTTTAGTTACTTTTTTCTAGTTTTAAGAGAGGTTTACTATCTGGTAAGTTGCTTGAAGTTTAACTTTTGGTTGGATTTATTAAGGTGAGATCTCCCAAGCCAACCATGTTGCAGAACTGCAAAGCAAATTCTCTTGGTATGATACTTCACATGGAAAGTGAAATATTAGGTTCTATCCTATAGCTCTCATAGTGCTCCTTTCTCAGGGTCATCAGCCGTGCTCCAGGTTTGAAGCTGGTGGTTGAAACTCTCATTTCATCACTCAAGCCTATTGGAAATATTGTCCTCATCTGCTGTGCTTTCTTTATAATCTTTGGAATTCTTGGAGTGCAGGTATGGTATCCACTAATATACCAAAGTATTGTAGGCATATACAGTATTTGTTGTTATTAATGGGGTGGTTGTTTGTTTGTTTTACAGTTTCAAACGCTTTTGAAAAGTATGGTTTGAAATGGATTTCCCTAACCTGGTGCCCATTATATGTGTTGGAATTCCAACTCTCCCAGTTCTTATCTTTGGTCTTTCTTTGTCAGGCATGAACCATCAAGGCATTAGCAAGACTTATTGCTAATCATGCCTATGCATAGGAATCTTCTCAAGCAATGGTTAGCACCTTCTTGGAGTTAGATAAGGATCCACAAAATTCAAAGGGGGTTGGACTTAGTTCGCTTGTGGCTACATAGGGATTCTAGGCTGATCCCTCTTTTAACTTCACCCCAAATCCTGCCACTCCTACATTCTTAACGATAGAATGTATGAATAGGGTTCCATTTCTGGGCTGCCCTTGTTTCCCCAACTTAACATTTATCAGTAATCAACATGTCCAATTTCCCACATGTAATAATAGTTCAAAATCGAAACAGTGCATATACTGTACGTCAAAAGAGATGCTGCAAACTTTTCTCTATCTCTGCAATACCATTAGTATAGACTATTTTCTTTCTGCCTTAATACAAAGGTGGATCTCTAATAGTGGCTGGAGAATAATGTGGTCTAAAAAAAGGACGACAGGAAAAAACTCTTGGAAATAAACCGGTCCATCATTTTAATGGCTTTACTTCTTGATCTATTTCCCACGTGCTGTAAAGAAGGAACAGGTTTCAAACTAACAAGATATTAGGGTCTGGATTTTGAACCACAATAAGATGTAGTTGGATTGTAGGACTCAGTTCTGAAATGATGTCTGGTCAGAAATGAGATATCTTGAGACAACCATTTATTTTTTAAAAAACTTTTATTTCTCTGACTCCCCCCCCCCCCCCCCATTTCAAGCATCCTCCAACAGCTGTTTAGAGATGGAAAGAAATGGTATTCTCTTTATTTTGATCTACTTCTGTAAGAGTGGGTAATGCTTCTATCTTTATATAAAAATATACCAGAGTCTGTATTACCAATTTCAAGGAGGAACAACTTCAAAATGTATAAGTGCATTTTGTATAAGTGTAAGAAGTGCAGCAAATAGTTGTTCTTCTTACAAAATAGTCTTTATGGATTTTCATAGGGTGGGCATATGCTTCAATCTGGCCTCCTGGCAGTGAAATGTCTACAGCCAATTTGTTTTAGTCTTTTCTTTATTTAAATATAAAATATTGTTATTGATGTTTGCTGGGTAAAGATGGGAATGGGAGGACTCTATGAGGCAAACTGCTCCCATTCTCAATTTTTAATCCCCCAAAGTCATTGCCAAATTACTGTTCTGTGGTGGATTTTAGGCTATTTTTTGGAACTAGGAATGGAGAATAGAAGTGATTTCCCTTTTAGAGGCCTTCCTTTTCCGTTCCCAGCTGAGTACTCCAAACAAATGTAAGAAAAATAACCTGAAACTTCAAACATATAACACCAATCTTCCCCCTCTCCCCCCCCTTTTTTTTTACAACACTGTAATCCCTATAGAGTTGGAGCGATTGGATGGAGCTGAGCATTTACTGGCTGGATGCCCTTCCTGACACAATGCAGAGTTCACAGCAGATATTTTTTCTTTGTACTCTAGGAGAGAAACATCTGCCACTACTTAGAATTGAACTCTTAACCTTCTGAGTGGGAGGCGAGCATCTTCACCATTAGGTCACCATGCCATTCATATAGCAATCTCTTATCCTTTTATTCTTTCAATGTCTGACAAAATCCCTTTTTCTTGTAGCTTTTCAAAGGAAAATTCTACCATTGCCTAGGTGTTGATATCCGAAATATCACAAATAGGTCTGACTGCATGGCTGCCAATTACAAATGGGTGCATCAGAAATACAACTTTGACAATCTGGGCCAGGTAAATATAGAATCCTCCAAGGTATATTAGACCTACTTAAGAGTCATCTGTAGCAGGGTTGTACCTTCAAATATTTAGATGCCTTCACAAATTCCTAATCATAGTATTATTTTGCTTAGGTTATCTTCAAATTATTTCTTGTTACATTTGTAGAAAATGAGTGTTCTTCGAAGAGGCCAGTTAATCAGAATGACAAAGAGGCATCGTTAAACACTTCTCTTTGGCTTCAGTAGACAATATTTATGTATGTAGGTGTTTAATACGTTAATTTTCAGACAATCCTTCAGCCACATTTTTCCTTGGTCAAAATACAATGCAATAATCAATATTTTTGTTATTAAAGGAATATTTATTTTATTTATTTTTATTTTTCAGATTTCTATACCACCCTTTTCCTTTTGGACTCAGGGCGGCGAACAGCCAAAATAAAACATTTGTACACAAAAGTTAAAATAGATTTAAAATAATTTAAATAAAGTTTGGCCCATAATTTAAAACATTTCAATTAAAATCAATATCAAATTTTAAAAACCAATCATAAAATCAGGACAGCCCGACTAACTGAAAAAAGTAGGTTTTAAGGGCCCAACGATAAGTCCGGAGGTCTGGGATCACTCGTATCTCTGGGGGTAGATTGTTCCAGAGGGTAGGTGCCACCATAGAGAAGGCTCTCCCCCTGGGGGTCGCCAGCTGGCATTGTCTGGCCGACGGCACCCTGAGGAGGCCCTCTCTGTGGGAGCGAACTGGCCGGTGGGAGGCAATTGGTGGCAGAAGGTGGTCCCGTAAGTACCCCGGCCCTAAGCCATGGAGTGCTTTAAAGGTGATCACCAACACCTTGAAGTGCACCCAGAAGTCCACTGGAAGTCAATGCAGCTCGTGTAGGAGAGGAGTCACATGGGAGCGCCCGTCGCTCCCATAATCCCCTGCGCAATATAGCAATCCAGTTAAATAAAGAATGAACATATTAGCTTCATATTGTACGTAGTGGCCATGTAAATAGTGCTTAACTTTGTCTTAAATCAGGCCTAAATTATATTGGATACAGTATTTACAGTAAGTGGATCAAAAAAATAGTCCTTGACCTATGACTGTTCATTTAACAATGGTTTGAACTTGCAACCAAGAATGACATATGGTGATTCTTCCAAGCTGAATGCTTTTTTTGTTTCATGCCTATGGACAAAATCTTGTCAAACTGAACACACTGCTATCTGCATCTACAATATATTTGGTGAATTTTTAGAGAATGGCTCTCTTCCCCCTCTTTCTTTCACATATAGTGTCTGGACTAAGTTGCTTTTTACACCTCTGGAATGCACCCCCTCCCTCCTAGGAATCCACCTCCTTATTACACTCTATCACATGTCCACATCTCTGATTTGCCATTTAATTTATCTTATATATTCTGTTTAATTATTTATACTACGCTACCTTCAGAAACCTGCTAGCAGTTTTCAAATGTTTAAAAAAAAAAATCAGTCAGGTGAGGGGAAAACAGCTATATAGGAATAACAGGGAAGGACATTGAGAGTCGGAGGTTTAGACAAGATATTAAGAAACACCTTTTTCAGAAAAAAAAATTGCTGAGGCATGAACATGGTTGCTCAGGAAAACTGCTGAGTTTTAGGATATAGGGACCTTTAAAAGGATAAACTCTGGGGGGTTTTATGTGGGATGCTTTATATTTCTGATTCATTTATTCCCCTGTTTATATACACAATAAATTATCTCAGAATTCATTAGCACCTTTGTGTGTTTTCTTAATGGATGTGCTGTGTGGTGGATTTGGTGAAGAAACTAAAGACTACTGTCATTTTTATCTTTTAAAATGCAAATAAATGCATACAACTATGTGACAATCTCATATATTTCAGGCTTTGATGTCACTCTTTGTTCTGGCTTCCAAAGATGGCTGGGTTAATATTATGTACAATGGACTGGATGCTGTGGCTGTAGATCAACAGGTAGAGAAGTTACCTCACACCTTTATCTTTCATATTGTTTTGAACTGGATTGTTAGGCAGACTGGATGGCCTGCCATGCCATGTCATGTCATGTCATGCCATACCATACAATACCATACCATCAGAGGTGGGCTGCTGCCAGTTCAGACCAATTCAGGCGAACAGGTTGTTACAATTCTGCACAGTTCGGCAAACCGGCAAATCCCACCACTGGCTGGACCCACCCACCCCACTCTGCTCCGCCCCACCCTGCCCCACTTTGCCCCACCTCTCCCTATCTCATCTCACCTGTCTTGGCCGGTAGCTAGAGTCACACCTGTGCCCAGCTACTCTCTGGCTCATTTGCCCAGACCACGCTGCCCAGCTGATCTCCGCGCCTCACCCACTTGCCTGCCTTCACCATAGCTACCACGCCGGTCACAGGGTACAGCTGATCTCTGCATCTTGCTCACTATCCTCACCGCAGCTGCTCACGAAGGTAATCTGCCTCGGGATGGACACAGTGAGGCTTGGCTGCCTTTCAGACCTGGCTCTTGTCATTCTTCCACCTTTGTCTCAAATCAGAGGATGTACCAGTCCCTGGCTCTGGCCTTCCCTGGGGCTTCCACCCACATGCCGCCCACTTGCCCTTCTTACCTATAAGAAGTCCCATCCAGAAAGCACTGCAGCGGAGAGAAGCAGCTGGGTTGAATCTCTGGCGTCTCTCAGTTCTTGCAGCCGCTTCTTCCAGCCCTTGGTGTTGGGCAAGCCTCGATCACTCATGGAGCTGCTTCAGTGCTCTCTGGGTCAGTGGCTGCTTCTCTCTGCCGCAGCGGAGAGTAAGTCTGGATGGGACTTACAGGACCCAAAGCGGCAACCCACGGCTGCTAAATTTCACTGTGCTGCATTCTCCCAGCAAGAGCAGTGGCAGAGAGAAATAGCTTCCAACCTGGAGAACACATGGAACCACTCCACGTGCTCTTCAGGTCAGTGACTGCTTCTCTCAGCCGCTGCTCTTTCTGGGAGAGCACAGCACAGCAAAATTTAGCAGCCATGAGCCACTGCTTTGGGTCCTGTGAGAAGTCCCATCCAGAAAGTGCTGCAGCGGAGAGAAGCAGCATTCAACCCAGCTGCTTCTCTCTGCCGCAGTGCTTTCCAGATCCAGGACTTAGAGGAAAGCAGCTGCTCACGGCTGCTAAATTTTGGTGCTGCGCAAGATGCTCTCCCAGCAAGAGCTGCTCTTTCTGTTCCTGTGGCAAGGGCAAGTAAGTATCCTAATGGCTGTCAGTGTCAAGTTGGCCACGCCCACCCAGTCACATGACCACCCAGCCAGTCATTAGGGCAGAGAACCAGTTGTTAAAAAATTTGCAGCCCACCACTCCATACCATACCATACCATACCATACCATACCATACCATACCATACCATACCATACCATACCATAATGATTCAGAGGGAGAGAACACACATATATATGTACTGTATGTATATTATTATGTTGGTACTTCCCGTTCTCCCATTTGGGCATAACTTTTCAAATTTATTGTGGATACCACTGTTATACCAGAAGCACATTATCTTTCAGTTAACTAACAAGGATAAAATCTCTAACACTTTTTTCCTTATTTGTTTGATAAAAATGTGAGACGATCATTGTCTTCTTTATCTCCTAGTGGTCTTACAGTTGTGGCATATGTTTTGGGAGCCCATGATATGATCTTCTGATTTCTACTCTCTGGCAGTGGTTTCCATCCTAAGAAAGTTCTCGTGGCTGACAGCTACAATCTAATGCTTTTCCTCTTCAGTTTAATAACAGATCACTTTCTAAAACAGATGGTGGCTACATAGGACCAGACAGTCTTGATGATATATTACGCCCACACTGTGATCTTTGTTTGTTCTCTTCACAAAGCAACATGGTTTTATTTCTGACAGGCCTTTTGAAAGAACTATTTACTAGTCCAGCCTCCAAATAGTTATAAGGATGTTTATTTACATTTATAAATAAACAAATGTTTATTTACATAGGGGAATATACAAATATGAAGACATGTAATGAATTTGGAAAAACTGCATGTTCGATGAAATAAAAGTTTCTCTGGAAAGTTTTAAAGACTTTCCAGTCTGAGGATTAATTTGTTTCACATTAATTTGTTTAATGATATGTGATAAATTTTGTTGGAGGGAAGATGTTTAGACATGTTATTATTAGATGGGTACAGAGATGGTTGAACAATTGTAACCAATTGTTACATTACCAGCTCCTGATCAGCTTGGAAGAAAACATTGGGACCTATTCTGTTCTATATGATCTGGCTAAGTGCAGATGACACATGGATTTAGGAAATACAAAGATCAGAGGCTAGTATCATGATTTAAGAGGATGTTAACAGGCTGGAACAGTGGGCAGAAAACAGCAAAAAGGAACAGGGGTAAATACGAGGTCCTTAATTTGGGTAGGAAAAATCAAAGGCCACAGGAAGTGATCTTGGTGAATCACAAGCTGAACATGAGCTAATAGTTTGGTGCAGATTCCCAAAACAAATACCCTGTTTCCCCCAAAATAAGACATCCCCTGATAATAAGCCCAATTGGGCTTTTGAGCGCATGGCAATAAGGTCAAGTGCTTATTTCAGGGTTCAAAAAAATATAAGACAAGGTCTTATTTTTGGGGAAACACGGTAGTTTAATGATTATATTAAATTAAATTATTGATAATATTACTATTGACATGTCTGCTCATTTTGATAGTTATCTCTTTCTTATACTATCCTGTATGTATTGTATGTTATATTATAAGTCATTTTGAATCATATGATTAAAAAAGCGTAGATGCATTTGTAAGAGATAAATGAAGAACATTATCCCAGGCTACATGCATTAACAGGTGGTCCTCATTTAATGACCACTTGTTCAGCAACTGTTTCAACTGTTGAATGAGTGATACTTATGACTAGTCTTTCAATTTATGGCCATGACAGCATCACCACCATCATGTGAGCATGATGAAGACACTTAGAAGTTGGCCAAGGTTTCTGACCCACACAGCATCCCATGGTCACATAACTGAGTCTTTCCTTACCAGCTTCCCACAAACAAAGTCATTGGGGAAGTCAGGAACTTGGAGGTCACAATCACATGTAGTCATTATATAATGACCTGCCAGTGATTAACTTAATGACGGTAACCAGGGGCTGCCTTTCCTGAATCACGTCTATCTATCCCATCAGGTCTGGCAGAAAGAGCATATAATGGGTCCTATCCACAAAGGAATGTCATCTATCAGGGCCCAGGAAATTGACTTTTTCTGCCACCTCCTGGGTCCTGTCAGATGCTGCCTGCCCTTTGGAACATCCCCCCCCCCCCCAAGATGAGATTGACTGTGACTTTGGCCTCCTGGAAGAGCCTGAAAACCTGGTCTGCTTTCTGGTCTGGGGATCTGGTGACATTGATGGAATGCCTGCTAAGTAGTTATATGGTTAGGAAAATCCTGCAGATTTTTCTTTCTTTCTTTCTTTCTTTCTTTCTTTCTTTCTTTCTTTCTTTCTTTCTTTCTTTCTTTTCTTTTCTTTTCTTTTTTTTTTGTAGTTTTAGTCGTGAGGTTTTTTTTTATTGTTTGTTGTATTTTAATGGCTTTTGTGTTTATACCTTATGGTTATCTTTTGTAGTTTTTATATATATATATATATTTTTAACATTGTAAGCTCCCTGAAATAAGAGATATGAGATACCAAGCTTTGTAAATTTAACCAACAATTGAGCAATAACTTTTTGGAGCTACCCAGCTTTGCTACACCAAGTCAATGATATAGAAATATATTCTTTTATATTGTAAACAAACTCCTAAAGAGTTTAGGAATATTCTTCAAAAAGGTCATAGATTTGCAAAACCATTCTTATGTTTTTAAAAATCTATTTAAAATGGGAGGGGTTATAGAATGAGAAAAGTAAATATAGTTTATTGTATTGCAATTGGTCTCTAGTAATAACTTGTGGTTCTTTGAAGTATAGCCCTATAATTTCCTTTATCCCTATCATCTACTTAATCCTTTGTGTTTTCCTCCCACTTCCCCATTCTCCCATTTCCACATTCTCCCCAACCATGATAATTTATTCCTTTCCATTATCTGCTTGCATCACTTGGCCATGTATATCATTTCTATTTGCTGACAATTGCATCAAGGGAACAATCAGTTTTTATTAGATCCAGGATTGATTGGTTCTTACTGTCATCTGTGGCGTTCATAGTAACTGTCTCCAGATCCATTATCTGAAAGCATCTGCCTGTTTTCTCTTGCTTTTTTGCCATGTCCAAAAATATCCTTGAACTTGTAATAATTTGTCATTGCCTTCCTTCCTAGAGTGAAATCCTTTATATTTCTCCAGCATCCTGTCCGGCATTATTGTTAATATTCCATATTCTCATTATCTACAAAATCAAAAGCCTTGCTAAATTAATAAGACAAAGACAAACCCTATATTCACTATTTATCTATCTTAGGTTCTGTATTTAACCATGTGTCCTTTTGCCTTTTCTGAAACTTATCTCTATTTGACATTTTTTGTCTATGCTTGGCTGGATTCTTCTGCGTAAATTATTAAACATAAATATGCTTCTCTGGGGGATTAGTTCATTCAATAATCTGTTCAGTCTTTTACATTTCTCTTGGTTCGTATGTATTTTTCAATCTGCAAACCATGTAGCCTTTCTAGTCTGTAGGCCATGCAGTATGTCTTGCTGTAGAGTTGTGAACATTTTAATTAACTCTTCTTCAGAGAGGAGTATTCAGGGGATATTTTTTTCTCTGTCTGGAGCTCTCCTGATTGGCGTGATTTTGTCACCTCTTGTATCTCACTTTTTGGCTTGGTTGATTTCTGAAATATTCTCCCTTTGTAGATTTTTGGCCTCCTATGCTGTAATCTAATTGTAAAGAATTTCAGTATAGTCTGTTCATTTTTCTTTACTATCTCTCCAATGTTCTCTTCTGTGATTACCTTGAATATTCTTATTTTACTACATTTTCCTCTGATTTTCTTAAAATAATTTTCCTCTTTTGTTGAAATTTTTGATTTACTTAGTTTCCTTCTAGATACTGAAAATTATGTTCAGTTGTTTACAACATTTTTGTTGCTTCCATCTTTTATTTTTGACTATTCCAATATTTATTTTGTGCCTTGGAGTCAGCATTGGCTACAGGTGACTGCTTGACGAATCCCTGCAGTTTTCTTGGCAAGAATTGAAAAGTATTTTGCCATTGCTACTTTCTAGGGCTGAGGGAATGTGACTGGCCCAAGGTTATCTACCTGGCTTTGTCCCTAAGACTAGTCTAAAACTGAGTCTTCTAATTTCTTCAAATAGCCTGGTGCTGCACTGAACTGGGTCTCCAGTAGACTGACTCAATATTCCAATAGCTTATTCTTTTTTCCCTTTGAAAATTGGAAAAATCTGGGAATTATTTCCACTACTGTTTCCAAGATATTTCTTATCTCTTTCCAGAAAGATAATAATTTGTTCTTAGATTCACTTTCAAATAATTTAGCATACTAATCTGATCTTTATATTGATCCTGTGTTCTGAGTGTATGTCCTTCTGATCAATTTTGCTGGCAGTCTATTCCCTTTTTAACTTCAATCTATATATTTTATACTGTAAATTCACAGTCTGCATATGGAAAAGTCTTATTGATTGGATTGTGTTTTTCCATCTTACATTTCCTATTGATTTCAGTTTACTTGACTCCAGTATTGTCCATCTGGTAATGTCCATGCATAAAGTCTGTATTTATGTTGCTTGAAGCATATGTTAGCAGTAAACAAAGAATAATCTTCACAAAATTCAATTTACCTATCTGCTTAACATTGCATTTGCCAAGTCCAATTTTTTCTGTAATTCCAGATTGTTTTTTGTTTCTCCAACTTTGCATTCCAAGGACCTATTAATAATAGCCTAGTTTCCCTTGTGCTGCATTTCCCCCCCATTCTCCCTGTTTCCCTATCCGCCCATCTTTTATTCTCATATCTCTGTATTCTCATTGTTTTCTTTATCATTGTTTATTCTATTGTTCCATTATTTTGCTGCTGTTCTGTTTATGCTTCTTTTCATTTTTCTGTTTTAATTGTTATATGCTGCCTAGAATAGCCCCAGAGCGAGGTAGGCGGCAAATACATTTAACAAATAAATAAATTTGGCACCTTTTGCAGTTTGCTACCATATAGACTTCCTCAGTGTCATTTGGCTATAACCAAGCACACACCTAGGATGTCTTCTTTTCCCTGTCTCTGAATAATATATTCTGTAGTCATATGACATACAGTGGTCTATTCAAACTGCCTACATTCATTTATTCCTAAAATATCATGCTTGGTATACTATCCCTACTCTGAGGATTTCACATTGTCCTTGATTTATGCATCTCACATTCCTTGTTCTAACTATGTACAGGCAGTCCTCTCTTATTACAGGCAGTGATAATTGGAATTGGGAACTCTGTTGCTAAATGACACAGTCATAAGGTGCAACATCATGTGACTTATGATGGTAATTCTAGCAGCCCCAGTTGCCATCTTTAGGTGGATCCTGAGTAGTTGCAGAATCCCACAATGAACTGATTGTCTTTTGCAACCTCCTGCCAGCTGCCCATTGTCTTTACTTGTCAGAAGCCAGCAGTGATGGGTGAAAATGGAGATCACATGACTGTGGGACACTGCAACATTATAAATGACAGCCAGTCTCCAATCACCAAGTTCTGATGACAGGACCACAGGAACACTGCAATGGCCACAAGTATAAGGAACCATCATAAGTAGGGCCTCATTCAGTGCTGTCATAATTCTGAATAGTCACTGAACAAGTGGATGTTAAATGAGGACTGCCTGTATGCCTTCATAAAAAGGCAAACTACTTTTTCAGTACTGGCATTATCAATGGCCAGACATGTTTGTGGTTTTCATTTGGTCACATAATCATCTCCATATCGCACACATGAAAGTTCAACCTTTCTCCATCATACTTAGAGAGCATTTTAATGTAAAGGTATCATCATCTGGCACTCAAATTTATATAAATATTTCAGTTTTTAGCAACAATTTCAGAAATGGTTTGCCTTTCTGCTGGTTAGATTTCATTCTCAACTACTATGACCAGCAATATCATCCAATATCTGCAGAATACCACATTGATGGAGGCTTACATAAAATATATCTAGTGGTTAACTGCAATTCTGTGGAGATTTCAAAGAATTCCATAGAAACATAACTTTTTTTATTTCACAGAATACTTGCTGGCAAACAACAATGCCATCACCTTATTATAATGCATTTTGTAATGTCAATCTTATTAAACTCAGCTGCTTGTTTTACTTTTTATTTACATTCCAGCCAGTGACCAACAACAACCCTTGGATGCTACTTTACTTCATTTCTTTCTTACTCATCGTCAGCTTCTTCGTGCTCAACATGTTTGTAGGGGTGGTGGTGGAGAATTTCCACAAGTGTCGGCAACACCAAGAAGCCGAAGAGGCCCGGAGGCGGGAGGAAAAGCGTTTGAGGCGCCTGGAGAAGAAACGTAGGAGTAAGGATCAACCTAAGTGGTTTTTTGTTTGTTTGAAGGCCAAGGTTTTTTGATAAAAAATTTATTTCATTATAAACCTGATGTATATGTGCATATGTTAGAACCATGTGATGGGAATTTGCTGAGGGGCAGCCAAACATGTTATTGAGCTTTTCCTTTCTTCATCTCGAGGAAGGGTTTATTTTCTGTTGGGCTCTGAAAGCTGCAGACCTTTTTACAACTTTAACAGACTTCATCTTAGTGCATTTCCACATTAGGAACTTATTGCATAACGTAGTTCATCTAATTTTTGTTGTGTCAAGATAAGAGCAATGAGGACAGAGTCTGTCCAACAATAGCTGGGTGATACTACACTATACTATGCTATAGTACACTATATTCTACTATTGCTATAGTATACTATACTATACTATTCTAAAGCACGGATGTCAAACTCAATCACATCATAGGATATATTGTGATGTATTGCTATGTTTTTTGCCTTTGCGAGTCGGGGTGGGCATGGCCTGCGTGAGATGCATCCGGCCTGCAGGCCGTCAGTTTAACAGGCCTGTAAAAGCACTAATAGAAAAATGGCCTTACTCAGCAGTTCTTAAATAAATGAAGCTCCTTGCTTTAAAAGGAAAGTGTGGCCTTAATTATCTCGTCCTTACCTCACTAACTCTTCCACTCCTGTTCATCTTAAAGATTTGTTTGAATGTACCTCATTCCTGTAACAATGTGGCTCCCTTTATCTTCCCCTTCCCTTAGATTTACTCTCAGGACTAAAAGTTTCATAGCTCTCCTCTTTTTTCTTCCTTTCTGCTATTTACTTTCCTTTTTGTTTTCTTCCCTTCCTTTTATTATATTTCTGTAATATTGCTTCCTATTTTCCTTTCCTTAATTATTGTTCCTTTTTTTCTTTCAATTATTTCCCTTTCTTCTTCATCTTTTCTCTCAATTCTCTCTCTGCATGTGCCACTCTCTCTCACACACACACACATACATACACACACACAAACCTGTCCTAATCTGAACTCTCTTTTTTCTACCCTTTTTCTGATTTGCTCCCTTACCTCCACTGAAGAAGCACAGCGCTTGCCGTACTATGCCACCTACTGCCCTGTCCGCCTCCTCATCCACTCAGTCTGCACCAGCCACTACTTGGACATCTTTATCACCTTTATAATTTGCCTCAACGTCGTAACAATGTCTTTGGAGCACTACAACCAACCTGTGGTGAGTTCAAAAAAAAAATTTTTTTTTGCCTCTATGCCCCTCTTTTCTTTTTGTTTATTCTACATTAAAAGAGTACCTGCTTGTAAAACAGAAAATCAGAGATCTAGACAGTTAGTAGGAAAATTTGGTAGTCCTTAGACAGCTATTCAGGAAAAGATTTCCTGTCTCAGATGTGTTGCAGAGAAAGCAAGCAAATTCTTCAAACCTGCTGAATATATAATATATATTAGATAATATATATGTAAGATAATATATATAAGATAATTTGCTGAATTGGATAAAGGATATGTCAGATGTAAATGCCTTATTCTCTAATGTGTAAATAGTGTACAAACAGGGTATCAGGGGTTAACTTATTCTTCACTTCTTAATGTATTCATAATTCACCACTCCCACATATAGCTCCACCCATTGTATATATAAGGAGCTACCTACACCCTTTCCCTTGCTTCTATCTGTGAATATTCAGTGAATATAGAATGCCTATTGTAAATAAAAGAATATATAGTTAAACCTTTAACTCTTGCTAATCTTATTGAGTCTGATCCTGAAAATATTGCAACAAGCTGGTAGCAGAGGATGGTTAATTGACTCAATAAAAAACTTAAAAATGTCTAAGAAAGATAGGCCCAACACCAGGGCCTACAGCAAAGAAATGGAAACGGAACAAGAAATAATCAACGAATCCACAAACGCAATTTCGAGAGAGTCCGAAGAATACACCACTGAAGACGAAGAAATAATTGATGACCAGGAGGAAATCGAAATAGAGAATAACGAACTCAGGTCAGAGATATTAAAACTATTAAAAAGCCAGAAGAATGATGAAAGCCTCATCGCGAACCTCCAAGATATGCTGAAGAACAGCGGAGCAGCGAGAGAGAAAAACATCACTAATGAAAAACCTAAAGACCCAAAAATAGTGAGTGATATGATTGCGGAGAAAATCATTACAAAGAAGAAAAACGGTGATCCCGCGCGAAAATTTGAATGGCAGCCATCTTGGTTTCAACAGGCCTCCAAGATGAGCGAAGCAGAGCCAATCAGCAAGCTCAATTCAAAATTTCTGGCGCGAAAAACGTTATCAGACAACGAAAACGAAAAAGAAGATTCAAACACCTCAGAAGAATCAGAACCAGAAAGTGAGGACGATTCAACAAAACACCAAATAAAATCAGCAATGAAAACGCTCTTTGCTGCATTTGGGCCAAAACTGAAAATTACTAAAAAGATGCCGAAGAAACGAGCGAGCAAGCCAATGCCTCAAGACCTGCCCGCTCCCATCCTGACTACGAGAGCGCTGACGCCCGAACCCAGAGAGCCCTGCCGATACCGCCCTACGCCGCAGACCGAAGCAAGCACCAACGCCCTCAATAGAAGAGGAAGAGCAGCCACCGTCGTCAGGACTCCCAAAGTCGAACCAGAGACCGACTCGTCTGAAGAGGAGCAGAGCAAGCAAGCCGCAATGGGGAGAACCTTCCACGACGACGCCGAAGAAGAAATGGACAACGCGCATGCGCGAAACTACGCAGACGGTCCGGGAAGACATGAACTGGAGAGAAGACCATGCAGACTCGTAGCGAGCATCCCCACGCCGTTTTGCAATTTTCTGCATTTACGAGACCACGGACTACCTCAGGTTGTAAGTAATGGACCCAATAATGTCGGAAATTTACCCAGTGACTTCCCAAAACTAAGGGTTGATGGCATTAATTTACAAGAATGGTATCAACAGCTCCAGGTTGTCTTTATGAAGGAAAATTTACTGTTTTTTATCACTAGTCCCCCAAAAAGACCTTGGACTCTAAAAATAGATTGTTTACACCATAGAGCTTTTTTCTTAATAATATCTAGTGTGTCTCCTGCAATGTATCACAGCATTAAGCCAAATTTGACTGTTTCAGAAATTATTCAATGCATGTTTAATTTGTTTCACAGTGACAGTGTAGCTACCACCACAAGGATATCTAAAGATTTCTTTTCGTCTAGGGTAAAACCAGGGGTTTCCATAAGTGAGCATTTAATATCTTTGAACAAAATAAGAGCTGAACTGCATTTGAGGGGGGAGGTGATTTCAGACCAAACAATGAAAAGTGTTATTATCAACTCACTTGATCCATCATGGGACAATTTTATGTCACATTTAGACACAATCAATCTAGGATATTTATCCATAGAAAGTCTGTCCAACAAATTGATAACAGAAGATAATTCAAGAAGGAATCGTTCTAACAATCACACAGAACACAAACCATATAGGAAAGTAGCTTTCCAAGAAAAATATAGTGGAACATTTAAATGTCATAATTGTGGATCCAGGGAACACAATAGAAGAGATTGCCCAAAATTCTTAAAAGAAAGATATAGATCAGAATACAGAAACAAATACGATTATAGACAGCCTTCCATAGAAAGGCATAGATATAGGAGCCCACCAAATCACAGAGAGAACAGAGGGGGCAGAGACAATTCAAAGGATAGAAAATCTGGTTCACTGAATGGGTTAAATAAACAAGACAACACTAACACACAGCAAAGTGAGAACAATAATTGGCTTATTGATTCTGGAGCAACCAATCACACCACTAATAACAAAAATATATTGTCTTCATTTGCAGAAGATAAATTTGTAATTAAGGTAGCTAACCAAGAAAAGGTTCAAGTATTAGGTAGAGGAAATGTAACCTTGCCTGGTCTAGGAAAAATAGAGGGGGTATTACTAATACCTGAAATACCTCATAACATATTAAGTGCCATAAAACTAAGCAGAGATTCTGACATTAACATTGTCTTTTCAAAAGGAAAGGCAACTTTGGAAAAGAATAAAATAAATATAGGCACTGTGATGATTAAAGGAGGCCTACCTTATCTGATAACAAAAGAAAAATGGTTACATAACATTGATTCAAATATGGAAGATTGTATTGAAATAGATGATGAGAATGTTAGCAACAGTGACAATGATGAATGTAAAATATCTCATGATCACACAGATGCACACAATGATAAAAAGCCAAAAATAGGTAAACCAATTCATGATGAGTGTGCTCACATCTTACATAGGAAGTTAGGACATGCCAGTTTTCCTGTAGTACAAAAAATGACTGAACACGCAGAAGGTGTTAAAATAAAAAATTGTGAAAATTATCTGGAATGCTCAGTATGTAAATCTACAAAACTAAAAACTAGTCCCAGGCCAAGAAAATCTACTAGATCAACTAACAAAATTTTTGATTTAGTACACATGGACTTAGTTGGTCCATTAACTCCATCAATCACTTATAGAAAACGTTACTTCCTGACAATAGTGGATGATTATAGCCGCTATGGATTTGTTTATACATTAAAACACAAAGATGAAACATTTCAAAAATTTAAAGAATTTTACAAACGCATAGAAACACAACACAACATCAAAATAAAACAAATTATGACAGATAGAGGATGCGAATTCATGTCTAAAGAATTCTCCCAATGGTTAAAAGACAAAGGAATGTTACATTACACATCTAGTCCATTTTCTGCGTTCCAAAACGGGATTGCAGAGAGGAAAAATTCCACATTACAAACCATGATTAGATGCACATTGGAAGATGCTGGCTTAAGCAAACAATTCTGGTCAGAAGCCTTACATTATTCAAATTACACACAAAATAGAACATGGTCCAGCATTGTAAATAAGACACCATATGAAGTGATGTATAATAGAAAACCAAAATTAGCACACATGCATATATTTGGAGTCACAGCAGACGTACACATACCTAAACAATTAAGAAGAAAGGGAGAAAATGTGTCCAGAAGACTCAGATTTATGGGATATGAGACTGGCACTAAAGGGTACAGATTCATTGATAGTAATAACAAATTTATAGTCTCCAGAACAGCTGTGTTCCATGAACAAGCCAACTGGTCTAAATTACATCTTAATGAAATATTCCCAAATAAATATAAAGATACAAAATCTCACGAGAAAAGGACTATAGAAAAGCAAAATATCAACAAATATAAAAACAAAACCAAGACTTGGACAAATAGCCAACACAAAATAAAGACAGACACACTAACAAAAAAGGAAGCAAGATATTTGCATGATAACGATAGTAAACCCGAAAAAATCATTAGAAACACCAGAAATCAAATGCCAAATAAATACAAGGATTATGTAATGCATATGGATGGTGAACCAACAACACCTAATACATATGAGGAAGTGCTAAAACTTCCTCGCGAAGAAAAAGAAAAATGGGAATTAGCAATGAAGAAAGAGATGGAAAGTTTACAAGGATTAAATGTATTTACACCTGCAATTGCACCTAAAGATAAAACAATTATTGGTACCAGGTGGATATATAAAATTAAGAATTTAGAGGGAGGCAATACTCTATACAAAGCTAGATTAGTTGCACAGGGTTATGCACAGAAATATCCGGAGGACTATACTGACACGTATTCCCCCACTGTAAGAACAGAGAGTGTCAAAACAGCTCTAGTGGTAGCATCAGCACTCAATCTTGATGTATTCCAATATGACATACAGACTGCGTACCTACACGCAAAACTAGATAAGGAAATATACGTAAGAGCACCTCACAGTCAATACACAAATAGAAATGAGACTTGGTTGTTAAACAAGAGTTTATACGGGCTAAAACAATCTGGTAAACGGTGGTATGATTGTTTAGTAAAAGTACTTAAGACCATGGACTTCAACGCTACCACTGCTGATAATTGTTTCTTTGTCAAGAGGGGTGATGATTACATTGAATTTGTATTGATTTATGTATAAAATGATGACATTTTATACATAGGAAAACAAAAAGAGAGAAGAGAAACTTTTGTAACTAAACTAAATGAGCATTTCTCGTTGAAATCTTTAGGCAAGGTAAACAAATACCTTGGTGTCCAAATTAATAAGACTAAAAGGGGATTCAAACTTACCCAGAGAGATAAGATCATAGAACTTTTAAATAAATGCAATTTAAACAATGCCAAACCTTGTGATACTCCTATGCAAACTGACTTTCTAAGAAATACTGATGAATCTTCTCCCGAATTCAAGGACAACACATTTTATAGATCAATCATAGGTTCACTCCTTTATATATCTAATTGGACTAGACCAGATATCGCTTTACCACTCAATTTATTATCCAGACATGTCAGCAAACCAACAATGTATCACTGGGAAGCTGTTAAAAGAATTTTAAGATATCTAAAAAGTACACTAGACTTTTGTTTAATGTTAGAACCTAATGATAATAAAGAACCAAAGCTTACGTGTTATGCAGATGCAGACTGGGCTGGAGACATCTCATGCAGAAAAAGTACATCTGGTTATGTATTTCTCTTAAATGACTGTCCAGTTTACTGGTACACTGGTAAACAAGAACTAGTGGCCACTTCAACGACTGAAGCGGAATATGTTTGTTTATCCAAAGCCGCAAATAACCTTGTATGGTTTAATGATTTAATTTCAGATGTTTGGAAAAAACCTGCTTTGCCTTTTGTTATGCATGAAGACAATAAAGCAGCCATTGAAATATCTAGATCTGATGCCATTGGACAAAGGTCCAGACATATAGATATAAAATTTAAACATGTGAGACAATTATCTCAGGATGGATTTATTAAAGCAGTGCATTGCGATACTTCAGAACAATTAGCTGATATATTGACAAAGCCTTTACCTTCTAAGCAGCACAAATATTTAACCTCTAAGTTGTATGTTTTGTATTGCCCTGAATCTGAGTGTAACTGGTGCTGTATAACGAATCGGCATTTAGAGGGGGATTTGTCAGATGTAAATGCCTTATTCTCTAATGTGTAAATAGTGTACAAACAGGGTATCAGGGGTTAACTTATTCTTCACTTCTTAATGTATTCATAATTCACCACTCCCACATATAGCTCCACCCATTGTATATATAAGGAGCTACCTACACCCTTTCCCTTGCTTCTATCTGTGAATATTCAGTGAATATAGAATGCCTATTGTAAATAAAAGAATATATAGTTAAACCTTTAACTCTTGCTAATCTTATTGAGTCTGATCCTGAAAATATTGCAACAGGATATATATATAGATGTATGTATCCTTTATCCAATTTAGCAAATTAACTTGATTACCATTTGCACCTGATCCGGCCTAGCAATGTGGAAGAAATTATGTATTTTGCATTTTCAGATGAACTGAGGTGAGGAAAGCCCCCAATCAAAACTTGGGTCAAAACTTGGCTGTGGAGCCTTATGTGGAGAACACAGAGCTCCACACAATCTTGGGACTGACTGGCCCCATGAGATTGCCCCAACCCCCACCCCCAACCCCACCCCCCAGCTGCCTGCATTAACAACTGCTAATCCACCATCTTGGAATTCTTCACCTTCTGAATTTTTTATAATGTTGTTTTTATTATTTTAAACTTTTTAATCTTAAATTATTCCGATTTTAATGTTTAATTTTATTGATATTGCACGCTGCCCAGAGCTCCTCTCTGTGGGAGATGAGTGGTTAAGAAATATAAAATATAAATAAATACATTTATTTAAATCATATCCTTCCTCCCATGAATGAAAAAGATTATAGTTGGATAATTGCACTTATTTAATGTTTTGGATGCAATTTCTTTATCAATAGCTCCCTATCACAACCACCAAACGCCTGCATTAGGAGGAAGTAAACAAAAGTGTGTGTGTGTGTATATATACTTTTATTTAATGTTTATATGAATAAGTTTAAAACAGCCTAAATAAATATATGAATCCATACAAATATTGCAAGATTTATATCACTATAAAAATAAGATGCAAATTTACTTTATCTGTTAGCATTGAAAGGTTTGCATTGCAGCACATTGGATAAGATATATTTCTTAATCGCTACTTTTTGTCCCACAGAGGTACAAATTCAAGAAAATTCATCATCTAGTGGGGAATTATCTGAAAGATCTTTTATATAGCATCTTTCTAAATATTCTGTTGACCTTGTATGAAATCACAAGAGCAAACGTATATTCCTGGGCCTAGCATTCTTTAGTTTATGCTGCAAAGTCTATTATCTCCTTCCTTATTAAATCCATCAAATTGTTAACTATGGAAGACAAATGTTTTTACCTTCCTGTCACAGCATTTTTTAGTGGAATGCTTATAAGAAGCTTTAATTACCCAATCCTTTGGGGTGAGCTTCAGTAGCTTCATACTAGTTGACTAACTTTGAAAAAATCCTCTAAATGCTATAGAGAATGAAGTTCTCAGCTTTTTCAAATACATTTTCCCTTTGGGAATGCAATATGACTCATTTCCAGCTGAATACGATGAATTCTCATTCATCAATTTTTTGTAATTTGCATAATAAGAGATGCAATTTGCACAGAACTATATCTAATGCTCTAACCATAAGGCTTCCAGATGTGTTGACACTGAAACATTAGAATGCCTAGCCTTCTTTCCTTTTAGAACATATAATGATCTGGAAAACGATATTACTAGGTCAAATCTGGCATGCATTCTATTTTACGTTTTTCTTTCCAGTTCTTTCATATTAATGAAAAGATAAAACATGAAATTGAGACATCCCTGAAAATTAATAGGTACCATTTGGAAAAATATTTTGTATCTTCCTCTTTAATCTCCATCATCCCCTCTTCTATTTTACCTAGAAATTATTTAATATTACAGTCCTATGACAGAATCTCTGGGAGTAAGATCTACTGAATTTAATGGACTAACATTGGGTGAATGGTCACCAAATTGTTTGTAAATCATTAAAATGCCAGCACAGAAAAGGGTATCTGTTCCATTAGCTGTGATAAATTGAGATTACTGCTTAATACTTTGAAAATCCTTGAATCCTCTTCAAAGTTTATTCTTTCACTTAAAAAGATAAAAAATACAGCAAACTTAAAATCCATGTGCAGTACACAGTAATTTTAACTCCAACTCTGTCCAAATATGGTATGGGGGATACAATACTGTTTTTTGTAAAAAGAATACAGACCAGCAATCTTTCATGGAAATTTGCCAGAAAGGAACAATGAAGAAAGTATTAAAACAATAAAGGTAATCCATGTAAGACAATTCTTGCTATGAATAGCTCAGCATTCAAAGATTTTGGCAGCCCTGGGAGACTGCCAGGCTGCTGCTGTACCTGTTGCTGATTGTTCTCCATCCATGCTGGGGAAGATGAAAAGTGGAATTCCAAACTGTCTTTCCCAACTCACCACCATTTAATTATATACATGTAAAGATTAGCATTAACATGACTCCATGGCAGCAGTCTTTCCCTCCTGCAGTAACAACTGAAGGAGCAGTGGTGAGCCTGAACTCTTTCATGCTGTCATCTTAATTATGCTATTTCCAGCAGCAGTGTATGCACATTAGGAATGGCATAATTATGATGACAACACTGATGAGTTCAGGTGCGTTGCTCACAGCTGTGCAGCATTATTGCTGTCATTGTCGTGGCATCTTTATATCGGGGCAACTCAACCACCTGAAAATAAATCAGTAGCCCCTCAAGGGCAGGCAATCTGACTAGGACTTCCCAAGATCTGAAGGCAGCTCTGGTAACTCATCCTCTAGCATCAGATCTAATGTTGATTGTCTTTTCCTTATCCTTCTTTCAAGTATAAGGTGAGACACTATATAGGTAATCCTCGATTTACTACCACAATTGAGCCCAAAATTTCTGGTGTGAAGTTAAACATTTGTTAAGTGAGTTTTGCCCCATTTACGACCTGGCTTGTCACAGTTGTTAAGTAAATCACTACACCTGGTAAGTTAGTAACCCGATTGTTAAGTGAATCTGGCTTCCCCATTGATTTTGCTTGTCAGGAGGTTTTGTGAAACGTTATTGCATGACCTTGGGTCACAGCAACAGTCATAAGTATGAACCTGTTGCAAAGCATCTGAATTTTGATCACATGATTATGGGAATGCTTCAAAGGTTGTAACTGAAAAATGGTCATTTTTCGGCACATTTTTTTCAGTGCCGTTGTAACTTGGAACGGTCACTAAATGAACCATTATAAGTCGTAGGACTACCTGTATTGTTATTCTCATGCAATTTGCACATTACTTTCATCCAACCTTTTCAGTATTTTGAAGTTGTTAAAAACAAGATAAATTATTTTCCTGATCTGAGTTCGGAGAAAGGTGTCATTTGCACGAAGACCAACCAGGCAATGCTGCACCCACCTCTGTTCCATTGGAGCAAAGAGAAAATTGGTATTTGTCCTAGAAACTACCAAAAAGAATTATGAATGTGTGGGATCTGCTGCAACCTGAGAATTTAATTGAAATGTAACAAGATTTTTTTAAAAAAAAAAGAGAACACACTTGCATATTTTCTTTGCCAGCTACAGACCATATCAGTCCCAGAGCTTTATGTTAGTAATATTTTCTTTTCCTCTTATTCATAGTCCCTGGAGACTGCTCTTAAGTATTGCAACTACATGTTTACTACAGTCTTTGTTTTGGAAGCAGTTTTGAAGCTTGTGGCCTTTGGACTGAGACGCTTTTTTAAAGACAGGTGAGCTGGATTGAAGATGATACCTGTTCTGGGGGAATCAGACGATCAGAAATGATGCATCTTGTACTTTGATTATTGCAACTATATATTATTATACTTAAAACTAAGGGACACATTCCCAATGTCTTCTTGTAGAAAGTAATGGTGTACCAGGATTTGAAAGTCCCACTAACACTACTAAGTAGAAATCAGCAGACATTGTTCAGTATTTCATGGAGATGTGATAACTGAAGAGATTTCCATAAACCATTCCTTTTCTTTTTTCATATTCAGGATTCTGTAATCAAAATCAGTATTACATCTTATTAAATAATTGGTAGAAGAAAAATCAGTGTAACATTAAAAGGAAACGGAAACATTGTAATCTATGTAATCACCAGGGAAAAAAATTCTTGAAACCTGTAACTAAAATGTTTTTATAAAGCAATACTTTAAAATTAAAGGAGGAATAAACAAGGATAAATACTACTTCATTCATTAGAAATCCCTATTGTTTCACTTTATTTGGTCAGTCTTTCTGTCTTAATAAATGCTCACAAAGTTTCTGTCCAGTCAATATATTCAATTTTACAGTAGACTAATCAGTGATCTAGGTCAGTATGAAGTATCACCAGCTATCATTAAAAAACACACCCTTAAAGATTAACTTCCTCAAAATATATTGAGCACCAAAATAAAGGATATCAATTAAACTATTTAAGAATGTTAAATTAAACTAATAAACAAAAATATGTATATTTATTTCAATTTTTAAAATTGGCTTATTTGATTAATGCAGTATTCTAAATAACCTAGTTTAGATTTTTTTGGGGGGGGGGAAGAAATAGCTGGATTCCGTGTTTCTTTGAGGCAGAAAAAGTGCCTTGTTTTCTTCAATTTCTTAAAGGTGGAACCAGCTGGATCTAGCTATTGTTCTGCTCTCAGTCATGGGAATTACTCTGGAGGAGATTGAAATCAATGCTGCACTTCCAATCAATCCCACCATCATCCGCATCATGAGAGTGCTTCGTATTGCCCGAGGTAAGAGGAGGAGCCAGAAAGAATAACCTGATTTATAGCTGTGTTTTGAGGAACAATCCATCTGTAGAAAGATAGCAATGGGATCCTGATGTTTATGTCATTAGTTAGTATCTGCCTGGCTGGTTTGATCTGGCAGGGTTAGTGTATATGAGTTCCATCAATTAAACAATACCATCTTTCGGGACCCCGGAAGTTTGCCTTCTCTATAACAGTGCCTACCCTCTGAAATGAAGTTTCACTGAACTCCACCCCACTGGTATTTCAAAGGGCCCTAAAGACATGGCTCTTTACCCAGGCCTTTGACGAGGATCACTGACACCCATTTTCTTTCTTTTCCTGCTCCTATCTGAGTTTGGGTTTTGTTTTGTTTTTTGTCAGAAATCTTTCTTTCTTTTCTTTTCTTTTCTTTTCTTTTCTTTTCTTTTCTTTTGTTTCTTGCTTCTAAATGTTTTTAACAATTTCTAAACCACCCAGACTTGTTGGCTGCTATTTCCTGTATAGAAAGAAAAATTGTACAGACAGTCATCCAGCTAGTTTATATAATGTGGCTAGATTCATACTTCTTAACCTGATAAATTGAGTTGAATTGCTGAACAAATAATTCACGTTAGGCCTTCACACAATGACACTGTTCAACAATATAATGAGAAAATGTCTAGGTTGCCATAACTAGATCAGGAGGCCCTTCGGTTACTCATGTCTTAGTCACCCCACTTGCAATGCTTTCTATTGGGATTGAAGACCACTTAGAAGTTTCTACTCTTCCAGAATGCAGCGGTGCAGGCAGTGATGGACATATTTTGATATGCTTGTGTGACAATTGTGCTGTACTCACTACCAGTCCACTTCAATTTATGTTTCTGGTTATGACCTATAAAGACAGTTCCTGTTTGAGGAACTGTCCATCTCCCATAGTATCTGCCTAGACAATATGAACTGATAAGGTTTGTGCTTGTCAGGGCATTTATTAATCCCATGTTTGGCTCTGGGACTAATTACCCTGGTTTAGAGGAGGAGATGAATCGAGGCTTATCCTTGTTTGCAATATTCCGAAAAGAAACGCGAAGGAAGGTTTCTAATAAAACTCATTTATTTGTTATAAAGAAAATAAAACACCTCACTAACTAAGAAAAGTTAATTGTTACATTTTTGAAGGTAATTCGGGCCGGCTATCTCTTAGCCGGACCTTTCTGGAAAGAGAACAAAGGAAAAGAGTGTGTGAAGGAATGTGGGTGGATACAGAAACACGTAGCTTACTGATAAGAAGTTGGCAAAGCTACGGAGAGTCTGACAGTCCAGAAATAATGAGCTCAGCTGGTAAATAAAATAACGCAGTGACATTCCCCTTCTTGCCAGTTGAGCGAATATCAGTACATCATCAAATAAGGCACATCTTCTCACGCAGATACTCGTGTTGAGCTGCTGGAAGTGGTTTGTTGAGCATATCAGCAATTTGATCATGTGTAGATACATATTGCATTTTGACAAAACCTTTTTTCACTAAATGTTTTATGTTTTGATAACGGATGTCAATGTGTCTGGACCTAGAACCTGTAAAATGAGATTCAGAAATATAAACCACCGATTCATTGTCTTCCATCACGGTGATCGGTCGGATCGGGTGTGTCCAGATATCTGTGACTAAAGCATCAAACCAAGTTAGAGAATTACATGCATCTGAAACACAAGCATATTCAGCTTCAGTAGATGAACAAGAAACAAAATTCTGTTTACGTACTTGCCAATAAACAGGACATCCATTTAAGAACATCATATAACCTGAAGTACTTTTACGTGATTTCTTATCACTTGCCCAATCAGAATCTGCATAACAACTTAATTCTGCATAATCAGTATGTGTTGGTTCTAACAATAACTTCATGTGTTTAGTGTATTTTAGGTATCTCAATAATTTCTTAATACATGTCCAATGAAACTGTTTTGCCTTACCTACGTGTCATGATAAGAGATTAACACTAAGTGCAATGTCAGGTCTGGTCCAACTACTAATGTATAACAGTGACCCAATGACTGAACGATAAAGTGTTTGATCCTCGAACTCAGGACTTTCTTCTTGTGTCAAGTTGTGAAAATCTGTTTGCATGGGTGTCTTTGTCGTGTTAGCATCTTTCATGTTGCAATGATGCAAAATTTGTTCAATTTTATCTTCTTGTGAAAGACTAAACCCCTTCTGTGTTTTTTCAATCTGAACACCTAAATAAGTGCTAATGTGACCCAATGATTTCAATGTGAAGTATCTCTGCAAAGCTTTGGCAAAAATTTCACTCATTTGCTTATTTGGACCAATATAAACAATATCATCAATATAAACAAGAACTATCTCATATGCATTGTTAGATCTTTTTGTGAACACGCACTCATCAGTTTCGGACTTAATAAAGCCCATTGAATTTAGTTTGTCAGTAAGACATAAATACCACATTAAACCAGATTGTTTCAGACCATAAAGACTTTTGTTTAGGAACCAGGTATCCCCTTCTTGCTGTTGGAATCCTGGAGGACTTCTCACATAGATCTCTTCGTCTAGGTCTGCATGTAGCTAAGCCGTGTCAACATCAAACTGGAAAACTTCTAAACCAAGGATAGTTGCAGTTGCTAAAGCAATTTTTACACTCTCAGTTCTGACTGTCGGTGAGTAAGTATTTGTGTAGTCCTCAGGATAACGTTGAGCGAAACCCTGAGCTACAAGTCTGGCCTTGTACAATGACTCACCATTTGATTTCTTTTTGATTCTGTAGACCCATCGAGTGCCAATGACCTTTTTGTTTGCTGGAGGTTTTGCAGGTGTAAATACCTTAAGTTTCTTTAGACTGTCCATTTCAGCCTGCATTGCCTCATACCATTTGTCTTGCTCTGAATCAGGGAGCTGCTTGATTTGTGTGAAATTGTCAGGTGGAAGTGTGACATTGCAAATCAAAGGCAAGGGTGCTTTTGTCAGTTGCCAAGAATATCGTTGTGGAAGGATTCCTTTTTTGAGACCCTCTTGGAACGTCTCGGAACAACTGTCCAGTCTTCTTCTGCTTCGTCCTCGTCCTCACTTTCGTCGCTAGCGTCAGCATCCGCGGCTTGCGAAGACGGAACATCAAGTTGAGAAGAATCAGTGGAATCTTGATCATCAATCTGCGTGGCATCAGCAGTATCATCTCTAGGAAAATAAACTCCAGGATCATTGGAATGAATCCTGGACCAGTCAATATCTTCTTCAAAATTAGCAGATTGGGAAATCACAATTGCATGTTTAGAGTCAATAAATTTGCTCCATTTTGAGTTATCATCAATACCCATAAATCTCAGTCTTTTTGCTGCTGGACTTCCTTTTCTTCTTTGAGCTAAGGGAATGTTCACCATAGCATATGAACCAAAAATATGAATGTTTTTAAGATCGGGCTTGTAGCCATACAACATGAAGAAAGGAGTCTGATTTGTTACACTGCTCCAAGTACGATTGACAATGTAATTTGCGTACTTGATAGCTTCACCCCAGTATATCATATCAAGGTTGGCGTCTTCTAGGAGACAACGCATCATGGTTTGCAGTACCTCTCCATTGTGAGCCGGTGTGTCAGGGGGTGAAGTCTGATGAATAATTCCATTCTTACGCATCCAGTCCTGGAAACGCTGAGACATGAATTCGGCACCACGATCACTCTGGATTCTGGCGATGCGAACTTGGTGTTGGGTAGAAACAAGGGTTGCAAAGTCTTTAAAGATCTGAAAGGTCTCTGATTTTTCTTTCATAGGATATACATATCCATATCTAGAGTAATTATCAACAATTGTTAGAAAATATTTTCTACCACCAAATGATGGCGGGAAAGGACCAACTATGTCAATGTGAACCAAATCAAAAATGCGTGTTGACAGGCATGTAGTGCGTTTGGGAATGGCTGCTGCTTTGGATTTGGCCTTCTTGCATACAGCACAATCCAAAAACACCTTACACCCCTTTAGATCCAAACCTTTTGTGAATTCCGGCATCTTCCTAAGAACACGGAAACTGGCATGCCCCAATCTTCTATGCCATTTGTGGATACACCTGGAATGCAAAGGTTTACCTGTTAGTGAATTCTCAACATTAACATTTTTATGCGGAACCTCAGGCTTGCTCTGAGCAATCTGTTTACCAATTCTCTTTTTGTTGGCTTTAGGAGCCTTAGGGGTAGCAACAGGATCTCTCTCTGGAGCATCTCTATCTGGGCCTGTACGTTCCCTTTTTGGAGTTTGCATACTTGCCTGTGTTTGTGGTTTAGGCTTTGGCTTTAAGTAATAAACACCACCAATTAATATGGTTTCAGCAACAATATCTCCATCTTTAACTATGTAACTTGCTTTTTCAAGGTGGTGAACTTGGAACTTTAACATTCTAGACAAGTGACACTGACTAAGCAAATTACTGGTTGCTGTTGGTATGTAATAAACATCAGGAATGAATGCATCGAGCTCTTCAACATAACCAGTTCCTTTTCCTTTGACCTGGCAAGGATGATTTGAAAAAGAATAAAGTTCACGTAGTTCAGGTTCAGGCTCGTGCATCTCTGTGAAAAGTTCCTTTCTGTAGGTAACATGCAATGCTGCACCACTGTCCAAAGTCCACAGGAGTCGTCTGTCGTACTCTGGTTGAGGTTGTGGATCATTGGTTAAAGCCAATGTGGCGAGTGGAGTTTGTGGATCACGCCGGGGACCGCGACGACCTTGTCTACCGCCTCTGCCTCTGCCTCTGGAGTCTGTTCCTCTGGGCTGGTACGTGACGGGAGCTGGAACTCGTTGGGGACAATCCCGGTGGCATGTCCCACACGATTGCAGGTGTAGCATCTTGGCATCCTTGGAGCATAGGTCCTTCCTCGGAAGGGGCGCCTAGCTGGAGCTCTTGATGCGGGTGGTCCTCTCAAGTGTGGCATGGCCAACATGAATGCCTCTTCTTCAATTAAAAGCCTACAAACATTGTCCACTGTGCGTTGAGCAATAGGGACTTGGTTAATTTTTGTAACAGCATCTTTCCATTCATAATTCAAAGAGTTAATAATGATGCTGATCATTTGAATATCTTCAATGTTATGGCCTCTTTCTCTCAATTCTGTTCTCAGACCTTTCAGTTTGGTCAAATGTCCTCCAATTTGTTCACCAGGTTTCAATCTCGAACCGTGGAGTTCAGACATGAGTAAACATGAAGATTCAATTGAGATAGGCCTGTAGCAATTTTCCAATTCAGCCCAAATTTGTCGGGCTGTTGTATTTGGTGGAAAAGTGACCTGCAGTTCAGTATCCATGGACATCAATAATGTTGTGCGAGCCCTTATCTCTAAATCTCTTATTGCAAAGTCCCATGGTTGAGCAGGTGGGTTAAATACCATACAGTGCGTGCCTTCTCTAAGAAGCAATAATGTAATCTCACTGACCCAGGCTTTGTAATTGTGTCCTGACATTTTTAGTTTTGACTCACCAGTTAGTGGAGAGACAGAAAATGCCTGGTAAGGAGCCTGCACTTGATATGCTGGCTGTGCTGGCAGAGGTATTTGCTGTGCCTGTTGTGGACCTAAAAATGGTCTTGGTTGTGCCATTGGAGGCGGGCCAGGAGGTGGCCCTATTTGCACTTGTGGCTGGGGCACATATGCAGGCATTTGTAGCTGCTGTGGCTGATGCACTGGAATCTGCTGTATTCCAGTTGCCATTTGTGCTTGAGCTGCAATATTGGCATGACCTGCTGGAGATGCAATCATTTGCCTTTGCTGTGTTCCATCTAAAAGGACACCAACACCGCCAGGGGGTGTTTGAGTTTGGGCCTGTGGAAACACTTGTGGCATTTCAGCTTCCTGTAGTAAATTACTTTTGCCAGCAGATGGTGCTGCACCTTTGGGCAGCTTTGCATACGGGGCATTGTATGCTTTTGAGTAGGAGTGGTTATGTAAGACATGTGTAACTTGATCAGGGAGACTTTCATGTGACGTATGCAGTGCTCTTTGCCTTAATTGGCCTGACACAGGATCCACCAGGGGGAGTGTCTTTGGCTCTGAGCAAGAAGACAATATGGCGCTTTTTGAAAAATTTAAGTTATCTCCCTTATCTTGCTCAAGCATAGATATAGCCATTTTTGCCTGGAATAGCTGCTGTTCATAGAGTTTTATACGGTCACGAAAGGCTTTGATAGCCAGCTTATCCAGGGTGAGCTTAGAGCTTCGAGGAGAATAATGAATTGTTTCTCTCTCTGCGTGGGAGGAATTTTGCTCAGCAGTGTGCTTTGGCCTTGCATCGAGCGTTACAAATTCAGAAGGTTCTGGGAAGACTTTTTCAGAGCTTGGAAGATCAGAAGAAAATGTTACTGACCTCAGTCGTAAATCATCATCTTCAAAAACAGCTTCTGTCTTATCTGTCTCCATTTCTGTTCCCACGGCTTTTTCTTGTTCCAGGCGTGTGGCTGTAGTAAGGGGCTGGAAATCTGGAAACCTCCTTTCTGCCACCTTCTCAGCAAAATACATTTTGTATTTGTTTTACTTCTGTTTCGGTATCTCAGCAATATAATTAGCGTACCTCAGTAGCTAAAAACTAATTGCCTATGCGCTCTTATCAGAAGTAACAAAACAAGGAAAAAGCCATAAATCAAACCATCCGAGCTGCCAGATGTCAGGGCATTTATTAATCCCATGTTTGGCTCTGGGACTAATTACCCTGGTTTAGAGGAGGAGATGAATCGAGGCTTATCCTTGTTTGCAATATTCCGAAAAGAAACGCGAAGGAAGGTTTCTAATAAAACTCATTTATTTGTTATAAAGAAAATAAAACACCTCACTAACTAAGAAAAGTTAATTGTTACATTTTTGAAGGTAATTCGGGCCGGCTATCTCTTAGCCGGACCTTTCTGGAAAGAGAACAAAGGAAAAGAGTGTGTGAAGGAATGTGGGTGGATACGGAAACACGTAGCTTACTGATAAGAAGTTGGCAAAGCTACGGAGAGTCTGACAGTCCAGAAATAATGAGCTCAGCTGGTAAATAAAATAACGCTGTGACAGTGCTTCAGGTCACTTCAATAGCATTATCTTTTGGGAGCCAGGAGGGTGCCTTCTCTGTCATGGTTTCCACCCTCTGGATTGAAATCTTCCTACAATTTGGCTGGCTCTCACCCTATAGCATTGCCTAGAATCTTGGAGGCCTGTCTCTTTTCCCAAGCCTTGGACTAAGATGGCTGGATTCCCTTGTGAGTCCTGTTGTTGACTGGATTTGCCATCTTGTGTTTTGTCTGCTTTTACTTTCTTTGTTACATTGTAAGCCAGCCAGAGTTATTTGGAGTTGGGCAACATCTAAATTGAATAAATTCAGTTCTATTCAACCTCATTTTTATATTATTTATGCATTTATCTATTGAGCAATAGCTTACATGAAGAGAAAAGGAGCTAAACAAAGTTTTGTTTGTTTGTTTGTTTATTCATTCAGTTTCTATAGCTGCCCATCTTAGTCAATGATCCTTGGTGATTTGCAATTCAAAAAATATATTACAATAAAGACACTACAACATTGTAAAACAATAAAATAATAAATATACGTAGCAGATGAGATACTTAGCCAGTTATCAATACAGCCAGCAAATGGGGCCCTTGACACATTCTGCACCCATTTAGTTCCTAATCCATGACTCCCTATACAGAGTGAGAACAATTTCTAATTACCAGCTAGCTACAATCTGAAGCAAAAAGGTAATTTTAGATTCAAATTTTTATTAGCTCTAACATAATGGTCTACATTTCACATTGACCACAGATATTTACACATGTTCATGTCTACATTCAGTAGAAGATATCCCAACTATAAAATTAATCTATGATCTGCTGCTCCAGAGAGAAAAACAAAGCAGTATTTGTTTCCCCAGCAATAAGTTACCACTTGCCTTGCTTTCTCATGATAGTTTTGAAGCTGTTGAAGATGGCAACTGGGATGAGAGCTTTATTGGACACAGTAGTGCAAGCACTGCCACAGGTAAGAAAAGCTGTTTTAAAATATAATGGTGCTTAAGTTGTAAAGTTGAAGAATATAAAATACTTAGATCAGAAATTTCTAAGGCTACCTTACCTGAGAGCAGAAGTGGAAAAGAATTTTGTGTACTACATATTACTAAATGAACTGAGTTAATTTGCAGCTATTGGACTAATAAAGGGATTAAAATAGCCTGTGCTGCACCTCTTGTGCAACTCCTCACACCCTCCCCACTTATACCACATCTGTCACACATCCAACCTGTGCTGCATCTGTTGTACATCCCCATGCACCTCTACAACTAGCATCACACCTCTCAGACATCCCCTCACTCCCTCACATACCCTCCCTGATCTCCACCTCCCCTGTCATGTACCCACTTGCACCCTCCTCAGCTTCCATTGTGTCTGTTGTGCACCATCTCATTCCTTCCCCCACCCAGCAGCCACCACTTATCTGCCTGCCAGTGGGACTTGCAACTTCCTTCCAGCTTCCCACTGACTTTGGCTAAGCAATCCAATTACACTTTATGATCTCATTACTTAGTGACAGAAATTCCAGGCCCAGTTGCTGTTATAGGTCAAAGACTACCTTTCATAGCTTACAAAGCTCTGTCTTACTCTAGTACAAAACCCCTTGAAGCAGGGGCCTTTGAACTAGAAACAGATACCTTAAAATCTTATGTAAGTAGAAATGCAGCTGATCCAGCATGCCCACCACTTACAAAATCAGTACAGTACAGGAAGTCCTTGCTTAGAAACTGCTTCATTTAACAATGGTTCAGTTATCATGGTAATAAAAACTAACTTTACGATTTGTCTTCACATTCCCTACCTCCACAGGTTTGTAAAGCAAAAGAAAATTTGAAGTAGGATCTTAAGCGTTGTTGCAGTTTCACTTAGCAACCACTTAATTGAATGATCAAATTGCAGTCCCAGTTGTCTCTAAACAAGGACTACCTGTATAGTGATTCAACTAAACAAATATGCATTAGTTTCAGTCTCTTTCATTCTACAGTTCAGGATAAGAAACTCTATTTAAGTAATTAGCACTTATTCCCTAGATTCTTTGATCCATTTAGGCCTCATTGAACAGTGTTTTTAAGCAGTTAAGTAACTCTGTTGCTATTTTCCTTATTCTGATTCTATTTTTTCCTCTTGGATTGGATATTCTTTTCACCAAGAGTCCATAGATTTTGTTCTCAAAGTAAATCCTAAAAAAAAAAAATACCTGTTAGTTTTGTGTCATATATTTAAATTTTTCAGAATTTGATTTATTTTGAGGAGCACATGCCAGGGAATAGGACATCATTTTCTGAGGACATCATTTTCTCCCCTGAAACTTTGCCAATGCTTTGCCAATCCAGTATATGCATTTCAATCTATTCAGATAATTTAGTTAGTTTAATTATCTAAATAAGATAGTTTAATTCCTCTACCAGATGAAGCAGACTATTAATATTCACTAATGCTGTATTGGGGACATGTGGTTCAGTGGCTAAGATGTTGAGCTTGTCAATCAGAAAGGTCGGCAGTTCAGAGGTTTGAATCCCTAGTGCCGCGTAACAGAATGAGCTCCCATTACTTGTCCCAGTTTCTGCCAACCTAGCAGTTCGAAAGCACGTAAAAAATGCAAATAGAAAAATAAGGACCACCTTTGGTGGTAAGGTAGCAGCATTCCGTGCGCCTTTGGTGTTTAGTCATGCCAGCCACATGACCACGGAGATGTCTTCGGACAGTGCTGGCTCTTCGGCTTTGAAACGGAGATGAGCACCATCCCCTACAGCCGGGAACGATTAGCACATATGTGCGAGGGGAACCTTTACCTTTACCTAATGCTGTATTTAAGAAAATCAGTTCGGTATAGTTTGGGGATGGCACCAAGTTTGGGGATGGCACCAAGCTAGAAACTGGGAGACCATGAGTTCTAGTTCTGCCTTAGGTATAAATCCAGGTAGATGAAGTTGGGCCATCACTTTCTTTAGCCCTAAGAAAGAGACAATGGCAAACCACTGCCAAAATGTCTCCAAGAAAATTGCAGGAACTTTTCAGGCAATTGCGACAGTCAGCACTAATTCAAAGGAACCAGAAAAATGCTGCATTTACCTAAAAGGAAGAGAACCTTGAATTTAAGATAATCCTCTTAAAAGAAAGAGTACATAGAAAAAGCAGACAGAGTTATAAATGCAGGCAGAAATTCTGAGCAACATTTGTTTGCTTCACTTTGTCAAATTAGAGTTTTTATTGTATGCTACCCAACATACATATATTGTATGTTGTATAATTGGATGACCTTGCAAATTTGTAAAAGGGAGGGAAGCAGAGGTGGGTTTCAGCAGGTTCTGACCAGTTCTGGAGAACCATTAGTGGAAATTTTGAGTAGTTCAGAGAACCGGTAGTAAAAATTCTGGCCCCGTCCCCATCTATTCTCTGCCTCCCGCATCCCGGCTGATTGGGAAGAAATTGGGATTTTGCAGTATCTTTCTCCCGGAGTGGTGTGGGAATGGAGATTTTACAGTATCCTTCCCCTGCCACCCCCACCAAACCATGCCACGCCCACCAAGCCACACCCACAGAACCAGTAGTAAAAAAATTTGAAACCCACCACTGGTTTAACCACTGGTTAAAAAAAGAAAGTAATACACATACTGAATTTATATCATGATTTAACAATCTAAGATCTGCTGTAGATTTATTTTCTATGGCATTCCTATAATATGCATAACATTCCTAACACTATATAAAATGCCAATTGAATTTTGCTGAGAAAATAGTATTAGTAGTTGACAATCAAAATAATGATATGATATATAAGAAGAAGATTGGAAACAATTTGAACTGAAATTGCAGTCCCGGAGAAAAATGGTGTTTAACCATTTCTATGTCTCCTTCCCTTATTTCCACAACAGAAATGATATCTATTCTCTATACACTATCTGCTACAGTATTGGCCACTGAATCTACATATTCTAAATATCCAGGTATAATAGTTATAGGCAACCGCATACCTTCTGATCCATAGCTAATAGTAACTGTGTTGTATGTTGTATGTGGTGTGTGGTGTGCTTTTTATCAGGAGAATAACAAGGCAGAAAAGAGTTAATCCCTGCCTTCAACACAATGGTTGCAAACCAGCTCTTATAGTTGTTTTTAAGATAATACAAAGATTTTGGAGAATCTGTTGCTATTTCTAATATCACAGTTTAGTTCTTTGGCAATGCAAATTTATACATTACTCAGAACAATGTTCTTCCCTCCAGTGGTGGGTTTCAAATTTTTTTACTACCAGTTCTGTAGGTGTGGTTTGGTGGGCATGGCATGGCTTGGTGGGCGTGGCAGGGGAAGGATACTGTAAAAACTCCATTCCCACCCCACTCCGGGGGAAGGATACTGCAAAATCCTCCCAATCAGCTGGGACTTGGGAGGCAGAGAATAGATGGGGGCGGGGCTAGTCAGAAGTTTTACTACCGGTTCTCCGAACTACTCAAAATTTCTGCTACTGGTTCTCCAGAACTGGTCAGAACCTGCTGCAACCCACCTCTGGCCATAACCACTTGTTTTATACTTTCCAGAAATTTTAGGCAAGATATATCATATTTTACAATTTAGGCTAGTAATGTTAGTGCATTGATTATAGTGCATTGATGGGGAGAAACAGGCTCCGACTCAACCCTTCCAAGACCAAGTGGCTGTGGCTTCCGGCGTCCCGATATAGCCAGCTGGCGCCATCGCTGGCTATTGGGGGCGAATCATTGGCCCCCACAGAGAGGGCTCACAAATTAGGCGTCCTCCTGGATGCACGGCTGCCTTTAGAAGAGCATATGACGGCCGTGGCCAGGGGGGCTTTTTATCAGGTTCGCCTGATACGCCAGTTGCATCCCTTTCTGGATCAGGACTCCCTACGCATGGTCACTCAAGCACTCGTCACTTCCCGCCTGGACTACTGCAATGCTCTCTACATGGGGCTCCCCTTGGAGTGCACCCGGAGGCTGCAGTTGGTCCAGAATGCGGCTGCGCGGGGGATTATGGGAGCGACGGGGCACTCACATATAACACCTCTCCTGTGCGAGCTGCACTGGCTTCCTGTGGTCTTCCGGGTGCGCTTCAAGGTGTTGGTGACCACCTTTAAAGCGCTCCATGGCTTAGGGCCGGGGTATTTGCAAGACTGTCTTCTGCTGCCAATAGCCTCCCACCAACCAGTTCGCTCGCACAGAGAGGGCCTCCTCAGGGTGCCATCGGCCAGACAGTGCCGGCTGGCGACCCCCAGGGGGAGAGCCTTCTCTGTGGCAGCACCTGCCCTCTGGAATGACCTGCCCCCTGAGATACGCACGATATCAGACCTCCGGACTTTTCGTTGGGCCCTGAAAACACACTTATTCCATCTAGCTGGCCTGGTTTGATCCCATCCTCTCAGTTTTTAACTGAATTCGGTTTTAATTGGGTTGTTTTAAACTTGGGCCAAAAATATTTAATTGTTTTTTAAATTGTTTTTTAAATTTTATTTGCTATGTTTTATCTTGGCTGTACACCGCCCTGAGTCCCGCAGGAGAAGGGTGGTAATAGAAATAAAATAAAATAAAATAAAATAAAATAAAATAAAATAAAATAATAAAATAATAAAAAATAAAATAAAATAAAATAAAATAAAATAAAATAAAATAAAATAAATAAATAAATAAATAAATAAATAAATAAATACATACATACATACATACATACATACATACATACATACATACATACTTTACATTATTCTATTTTTAGTATTCTGTGGATCCAGAAAATGTAATTTAAATGTTACTAAAAATTAACTTGATAAAAATACAAAACTATTACAATGTGACCAACATCAAACGGTCAGAGCATAGAGCAATTATCAGAAGATGGACTCTCAGAGATCATAAAATGTTCTGATTCCACCTCCTGGGAATAAATACAGCATTTACCATCCTTGACCTCCCATTCCTGGGCTCCAGGGAAATCTCAAGGCTACTTTTTTCTGCAATTGGATAAAAACCATTCCAAAAACTCTTCTTAAATTATCAGCATGTGAAAATGTGTTTTCTAATGCATGAATCGGCAATTGCTCCAAGAACTCTAAAAAGCACAGCGCCTTCTTACTTCTTTCTAAAACATTTAATAAAATTACATTATAGAAGCTGCAAAGATGAAGCCATGAGTTTTACTCAAGGCAGCAAAAATGTTCTACATTTAAGTGATTAGGCTGAATTTTCCGGTTTTGTACATTGACTCTGCAGGGAACAACCAAGTTATCCATAACATTATGCTTCCCTGCAATTTAGAACAAAGCATTTCAAAATTATATCTCTCTTCCCATCTATCCTTTGGTTTTATGTCTGTTTGGTGCATGTTTCCATGTAGAAATGTGTAACCACATGATGCTCAGCCTGTCAACCACAATACCTAGCAGACAGATACATGTGATGGCAGGGGTGAAATCCAGCAGGTTCTGACAGATTCTGGAAAACCAGTAGCGGAAATTTTGAGCAGTTCGGAGAACCGGTAGCGGAAATTTTGAGTAGTTCGGAGAACCGGCAAATGCTACCTTTGGCTGTCCCCAGAGTGGGGAATGAAGATTTAGCAATATCCTTCCCCCAGGAGGGGGGAGGGAATGGGGATTTTGAAGTATCCTTCCCCTGCCACACCCACCAAGCCACACTCATCAAGCCACATCCACAGAACCAGTAGCAAAAAAAAATTGGATTTCACCACTGTGTGATGGGCTTCTGAAAACTGCATTTATTCATTTTGAGGAACTATTTTATAAGAAGCTACCAAGGAAGCCCATCTTTCAAAATAATAATATTTTTTCCACACATGAAGAGTTCAATTAGCTATTTATTGCTCAAGACTATCACAGAGATTTTCTCAGACTGATAATTTGCACCTGGATAAAACTAGATAAGGTTCAATGGCATTGGGAGGGAGGCAGGAATCAGACTTCATCCTCTTGTGTCCAAATAGGGATTCCAAACTAATTCCCTGTTTGACTCCTCCTCTGGTTCATCCAATCTCTCTCCAACATCGATCGGGATAGATCAAAAATTAAATTTGACTTAATTTCATAAGAATTTTTATTTACTTATTTTTTTCCTTATCACACTAAAATTTATAATTTGGTAACAACTTCTGATGGACTTTCTTTCACCCAAACCTTTTGTGCTGTGTGCACCTCTGGAACTGCATGATGCATGTCAAACATAAATTTCAGGATTGTGTTAAGGTTTTTTCCCAACTTCATTTAAGCGTGCTTTGAATTGCCCAATTATATTGTCTGATCCCGGTGAACATTTGAACTGCCAGTTGTGCTAATTCATATGTTCAGTCTCTTTCTTTTTTTCAAAATAAGGGTTTTTTTTCTTGTGGTTCCTATGAATTATTTGACATTAATTTGATTTACTTACAGGTTGGTAATCTTGGACTCCTCTTCATGCTCCTTTTTTTCATCTATGCTGCTCTAGGAGTGGAGCTTTTTGGCAAACTTGGTAAGTTTTCCAGCATAAGGAAAGGTGGAATTGCAAACACCAATTACATCACACACACACATACACAAAGAGGGAGGAATTACCAAAATAGTATGCTAAGAAATAATTCCTATGATTTAAATAGAAATGTAATGTACCTTAAGGACAGTAATTAGATAACTTACATACATGCATGCTTGCTTGTTCTGCTGTCTGAGTGATTGTTTATGGGCAACTTCAAGGGCTCTGCTCTCCTTTTTTATATATATTTAAACTGAATTCCAAATGGACGGTTTCACGTTAGCTGAATGATCTAAGTATATTTCTGATTGTTTTTATCTTATTAAGAAATTTAACATGTCAGGGACTCCTCTTGCATATTGCCCACAGTTAGTCTAAGCGTTTCCATTGATACTGTACATTGATACTGAAGCAGTATATAAGTCTAAGTGCTATTGCTATTGCTATACTGTGCAAGATAGATAATTATTTAATGTTGGAGGCAATTCATATTTTTCTACCAATTTCTTCAGAGACAAATAATTTTATTTTCTTAATCTTTAAGGCATTTCTAATATTGAAAAAGAATAGAATTACTGTTGCCACTTTTTTATCTTTGGAAGGGACCCTTCATCTGTATTTTTTCTTCATAACATCTACTTTCCTTGTGTCTTTGTTTTGTCATAACATGGGAGATTATTAAGGAGAATCATTTTAAGAAAAATTCATCTCTTTGTCCTTTAAGCATAGTTTATTTTAAAACCGCTAAATGATAATAATAACCAAGGAACAAGGAGTTAATGGTTTTACCCCATCAAATCCCATTTTACAACCTACTTTTCAGAAACCCAGGGCTAAACCTATATAGTTATAATAGCTTTAATTCATCTCTTTATAACCCATTTGCCCTTAGTGATAATGGCCAGATTTTATAGTAATTGAAGTAAACATGTATAAGTCAGGGGTGGGTTCTACTTACCTTTACTACGGGTTCGCAACAGGATCTCGCTTCACTCACGTGCGCGCTTTGCTTCTGCCCATGCGCAGATTGCCGATGACAACATCCAGGGTGGTGGGCAGAGCCTCCCGCCGGATTTTCTACCGGTTCTTGCGAACCAGTCCGAACCAGGGGCAACCCACTGGTATAAGTACCACAATGGACTAGATTGCCTCATTATTTCCCTATTTCTGTTGAATTGCTTCTGTCTTCACTCTGTTTTCAACCACATTTTGGCTTGTGCACTGAGAAAACAACAGAAATAGTCATTTACTGATCTCTTTGAGTCCTCCAGATCCAGGAGTTACAAAATGCCCATATTAGATTCTGGATGGGATGACATATCCCATTCAGACTTGGTGTGCAATCTGGGGGCTCCTGCTTGATGAGCAGGTGGCAGCTGTCACCAAGGCTGCATTTACACTGCACCTTATCAGCCAGTTGCACTCATTCTAGGACCAGGTGGCCCTATTCATGGTCACTCACACCTTGGTCACCTCTCAGTTGGCCTATTGCAATACATTCCACATGGGGCTGCTCTTGAAAATCATCTGGAGGCTTCAGTGGATCCTGAATGTAGCAATGCAGAGAGTTATGGACACATCTCATTATGCCAATGTAAACCATATTCTACAAGCCTAACTGGTTTCCAATAGGTATGCTTCAAGGTACTGGTTATCACTTTAAAACCCTACATGGTATAGGACCAGGTTCCTTGAGGGACCGCCTTCTACCAAGAACATCTGTCCACCCCACATTCTCCACAGGGAGGACCTGCCTCAGGTTCCATCTTTTAGATCTTGTCATCTTATGCAATCTAGAGGGCATGGCTTTTCTGTGGTTGCTCCTGTTCTTGAAACTATCTCTCTCCCCTCCCTACTCTCTGACATACAACAGGTCCCATTTTCCTAACCTTTAGGGAATTCATTAAGACCTGTCTCTTCTGCTAGACATTAGGAGCCAATTGAGAGTCCTCCCTTTTGGTTATTCTATTATGTGTAAGTTTTATTTATATGTTATATCAGGTTATTGTTATATGGTGGGTTTTTTCTTTATTTTTTTATGCTGGACACTGCCCAAAATTACATTATTTGACAGCCTTATAAGTCTTGAAATAAATTAGAATTTGAATGGAAGTTCAGTCACTTATTTTGGTCACTCTTCCTACTTTTAACAATATATTTGTTGATTTCGCATGCATGCTAATTCATTTCAAGGAAACATATTTTTTAATAAGCGTAATCTAAAAGCAACAGAGAAATAAGTTTTGGAGAAAGAGAAGGAGGTTATAAGGCAGATATGTGGAAAATAAGACACATTATTATTATTTGAAACCAGTTTGGTATACATTACAGAACACATATGCATTTTGCAAAAAATATAAGGGTATCTTCTCATCTTGGTTCTTTTAAAGGTCATTGTATGTTGATTAGATCATTCTTCTATCTAGGTTTGCATACACTGTAAAGACAAGATTAAAATTTATAAACTGCCTTTTCAAACCTTAAACTTCAGCGTCGTGCCTATTTTTTCATGTATAAAACCCCTTCTTTTCAGTATGCAATGATGAGAACCCATGTGAAGGAATGAGCCGCCATGCTACCTTTGAGAATTTTGGAATGGCCTTTCTCACACTTTTCCAGGTTTCCACTGGTGACAACTGGAATGGCATTATGAAGGTAATTGAGGCCATTTCTGGAGACATTTTTTGTGCTGTCATGAACAAAAGGAAAGTTGCCAGGGTCCTATGGTGAGCTTAAAGCATACTGTGTATATTGTGATTTCTACATTGCAACTATCCAATCAATGATTGCAAAAGCCTGGCATTACAAGAAGTGTTAGAATGTTATTGATAATGATAGACAGAACCTGGCATGATACATCTATCCCATCATTTGGGGGATGGGATGAAATTTTTTTTGCAACATTTTTAGAGCTTGTATGGAGTGTGAATTCCTGAATAGGCAAGAGGGAAGGGAAGGGATAGTATAATACTAAGACACCACATAAACAAACTGTCATTCTTGAAGCATCATATAAGAGCTATGGCAATGCAAATCTTTTTATGGCTCCATTAAAGCTAAAGAATATTGAGCCCAGGAAATCATTTGAGGAGGTGCATAACACACAAAGTGCCTCTGTGAATCTGTTTCTCAAGGCCATAAAACAGCCTCAGCTGCTTTTAGATTGGAGCAGTTGCTTGGAGTCCCTAGAGAACTTCTGGGCATGCATGTGCTTCCACAGATGACACTTCCATTGGGATAGCTACAGTCAACCATCTCGTAAAATAAGGTTTAAAATATAACATTTTGGTAGCAAATAGATTTTGAGTACTGTAGTAATACAAATTAGACCAACTCGTTGGACGAAATGTTGTGATTTGGCTAAGGCAACCCTCATAAATTCTCTGTTTCATACAGATACTCACTCATATTATCTTGCTCTGTAGGATCACTATCCCATATCTGTCCTAATTTGGATCCAGTGCAGGATAGTATCAAATTCACATAAGTGGGCTCTTCAAAGTGACATGTTGGCATAGACCAGAGGTCCTCAAACTTGGCAGCTTTAAGACTTGTGGACTTCAACTCCCAGAATTTTCCAGCCAGCTATCCTCAGTACTATAAAATATATATATCTCAAAGTGCAAAATGCTCTGTCTCAATAGAATATTGGGACATGGGACAGGGATAGATATGTCATTGCTGCATTACTTTCTATTCATGTGTGCTAAGATAAAAAGGGATATCATTTTGTAGTTAATTGGGACTTACCTATGTGACAGATTTCTTGTGGATCCAGAAAGTGATAGAATTAATGAAGTAGAGGTTGGAGTGAGAAAATTCTGTTTCCAGAAATATCATACATCAGAAATCTTGAGTCTTGTTTAAATATTTTGATTGAGAAAGCAGCTAATTTTTGTCTTCATTTTTTAAAAATAACTTTTCCCTTTTCTCTGTGTTTTGTGCTTATGTCTATGTGTTGTATGGGGAATTGTTTGGTTTTCTTTCTTTTTGTTTTTCACTTTTTTGGCCTAACTTAATTCCTCAAGGATACACTACGTGACTGCACTCATGATGATCGGAGCTGCCTGAGCAACCTACAGTTCATCTCTCCACTCTACTTTGTTAGCTTCGTGCTCACAGCCCAATTTGTCCTCATCAATGTTGTAGTAGCTGTCCTTATGAAGCACCTAGATGACAGCAACAAGGAAGCACAGGAGGATGCAGAAATGGATGCCGAGATTGAGCTTGAGATGGCACATGGATTGTGCCCTCAGAGCACGAGCTCATTGAATCCTGGACAAGATGGAGGAGGTGGGAGAAAGGACTCTGAAGGACATCTATGCATGACATGTTACTCTCCAGCACAGGTAGGCGGAGCATTTTTCCTTGCTGCTAGCAAGTTTTTGGCACATTAATTTGGGAGAACAAAGGTAGTTTAGAAAAGTGTAGAGAGTTATGATGGAAAAATGGATATTTAAACAACCTGTGACTGACAAAGATTCAGTTCTAGGCTAGGAGTTCTGGTATACTGAAAAATTCTCATGAAGACAGAACTTAGAACACTAATTAGTGCTGAATAGAACGAAATCTGGATTTTGTAAAAAGTTGAAAAATAAAATTTAAAAAGATACCATGAGGCAGGCCTAAGGTACAATAGTGGAAATACAGTAGCAAAACACAAAATTATTTAGCAAAGTAACTTGAGGAACACCTGTGAGGTTCTTTAGCAAGTTTCAGTGGTGCTTCTCTGTCCAATATCCATCTAACCCCTTCATTTTACATCATTGTGTAGGGCTATATTCTGCCTCATTTACTCATTCTGTAGGATTTTACTCAAATGTGACTATTTGCCACAGAATTAACCAGCATGAGTGAAAGTGGCAGAAGATAACTACATTATACAAAAGAACACTAAAACAAGCAAAAACATGGAGTTCTTAAAATAATGTCTCCCATCCTCCCCCCTTTCTTGTCCCCTAGGAGAACTTATGGCTGGACAGTGTGTCTTTAATAATTAAAGACTCCTTCGACGGGGAGTTAATGATCATCGATAACCTATCGGGCTCCGTCTTCCATCATTACTCCTCGCCGGTCATGTGCGAGAAGTGTAACCATGACAAGCAAGAGGTAACCTGCGTGCGAGGATACGGGAGGGGACATCCCATGATTTTCAGAACGCACACATGCACACTAAGCACAAGGTCTTCTTGGGATTGTCTCCTGATTATAGATAATTTTGATATACATTTTGCCATTAACATGCTTTCCTGAAGGCATCTCGTTCAAAGGAGGAAAGGCATATTTCTGTTAGCTAAAGGCTGAGTGGAAAGACAGCTAGATTGACAAGGATATATGAAAAAAACACCCTTTCATCATTATGAAAGATGAGATACAATATTAGTTCTGTAGAGAATACAGTATTCTGTTTTGCATATTGTAGAGTGATTTGTAAAAGGAACAAAGTGCATTGTTCCATGGTTTTCAAGGTTTGGCGAGTATTTTTAAATGATATGCTTAGTTTTAAGTGGAACTCTGTTTTCTGGTATCTAAGAAGTACTTTAGCACAGTATAGTTCAAGGTAAAATCACTTTAAGTTTTTAAAATGCTGGCTACCATTTTATTTTGTCTTAGTTTTGAACCTTTAATTTTAATTAAATTGCTAGCGAAAGATATAGGAAATGGACGTAAAGAGATTTCTTATTCAGTGATGGTTGTAAGGAACTATAGTTTAGGTAGTCTGAATTTTTGCATATCTTAGCTAATAGAATCATTCATTGTCAATTCTTTGCAATTAATGTGAATGTTTTAGTTGCATAGATTTCAGAGGGCAGAGAAGTCCAGTTGAATGTTCACAGGTCAAGAATCTCATTACTTGATACTTGGCTGATAGTAAAGCTAAGGAATTTTATATCTTGGTCTAAGTATCATAGAGGCTGGCAATATCTGAGGTTATCATGTTTATTCAATTGTAAGTATACAAGTCATATTTTTTCCCATCTCCCACTACAATTCCTTCCTTTATGGCTTCACAATGCATGTTAAGTGAGCAAAGCATTACATTAAGAAAGCCACTTCCTTTGAAAGACTTTCATGGCTGTCTCAATGGTTTGCCGGTATAGACAACACTTCCATTGGAATCACCAGCAAAGTGGTTACACATGCACAAGTGCAGCTGGAATGACCTTCAAAACTACCATCCAAGTCTTCTAAAAAAATTCAGCATCTCAGTCTTTCCTGAAGTATCAGTGTGCTGAAACTCTTTTATTAACTGATATAGTCCAAACTTAATTTAAATTACTATACTGTCAAAAAAACCTTGCCAAGATAAAAAGTATTTAATCCAAGAAACACTTCATGCCAGCAACATATCTGTCCAATGCATTGCATCTCATTGGCCCATTTTTATAGCTTACCTGTCATCATACTGGAAAGGTAAGGGGTCCCTGTAGATTTTATTCTGCTAATCGTTGCTGTCTATAGGGGCGGTGCTCATCTCCATTTCAAGGCCATTGAGCCAGAGCTCAAGTGGTACCTACTTTTTATCCACTCTCACTTGGTTGCTTTCAAACTGCTAGGTTGACAGGAGCTGTAGCTAGGATGGGAGCTCATCCCATCGCCTGGCACTCTTGTGTCAAACCTGGGCTGCTGGCTTTGATAGAATGTGAGACTCTAGCCCACATTCCATCAATGCCCTTTCTGTAACAATTTGCATCCTAACATGTAAGAAAAGTATAAGAAATATCTCTTAAACATGCCAAATGCATTATAAATGACTCATACATAATGCATTTATAAATTATAAATATGACAGGTGCTTCTATATGGGGCTGGATTCCTGGCAACTGCATGGCTGTTTTAGCTTATCTACCTTGTAGTCCTTTCAGTAATATTCCTCTAAAGTCTTCGAGCTTGTTCTTCCATCTTTTCCATTGTCTTCCCTTGTCTACTTGACAAATACAGTTATTTCTAGATCATCATCCACTCCTATCACATGCAAATGATGATTTGAACATCACCTCAAGGAAACAGTCAGTCTTGATTAGATCCAGGATGGATTGAAACTCTCAGTTACTATCTCCAGATCCACTGTCCAAAAGCATCTGTTTTGTGTAACCCAGTTTCAAACTATACAATGCTGCTGGAAGTATAATTGATTTAATTATTCTGCTCTTATAATATATTCTGATCATATAAATGTACTTAGCTTTCATGAACTTGTCTAAATGTATTGTTCCCTTCAACTAAACTCCTTAATTCTTTAGCACACTGCCCATCTTTACTTTTAATAAACATATATCGAGGCATAATCTACATAAGGCCTTGCTATAATCAATAAATCAAAGATAAGACTTCCTCTTGTTCACCCCATTATCTGTCTTATATTAAGATCTCTTATCTTTCTGCCTTGCCTGAAACCTCCCTATCCATTTCACATTTATTCTCCATGTTTGATTCTGTTTATAAGAACATAAGAAGATATTGCTTACACAAGGAATTAGTGCATTAAGTAATTGACACACTTCTTGCATCATTCTTCTTTCAAATCAGTATATACACAGATCTAAGCCTCATAGGCTTATTGTATATTTGTTGATGTAGCACTGTTAGCACTTGTCTCTTCATCTTTTGTAACTTACTTTCCAGCAGAGTCAGTTTCGGTATATATCCTCTTTCTGCAAATTTTCTCTCCTATAATGCCTTTTTAGAAAATATTTCAATGTGCATCTGTCAATCTTCCTTTAACCTTATTTGCCTTCATTCTTCCAGGATTAATCTTGAGAAGTCCTACCTAAACTGTAGATTTTCATGATCTTTTTTTTTTTTTTTTTGGCCTTCTTAAACTCCTAATTATCACATTCTTACTATTTCTTTTCTATGTTGACATTTTTGATTCCCTGTCATTTCTTATTTGACTCTGTATTTGGTTGTACATCCTTCCCGAATGCCATCACTCTGCTAAACAATTCTCTCAACACTATCAAACTATTTACTAAGTCTGCACTACTATTAATCTTCCCATCGTTCTCACCACCCATCTCCTTTCCTTATGACTGTATAACTGTAATTTTGTTACTTGTATCCTTATGATTTATATTGATATTGTTTCCTGTTTGCTTATTTGTACCCTATGACTATCATTAAGTGTTGTACCTTATGATTCTTGATGAACATATCTTTTCTTTTATGTACACTGAGAGTATATGCACCAAGACAAATTCCTTGTGTGTCCAATCACACTTGGCCAATAAAAAAATTCTATTCTATTCTATTCTAGTCTAGTCTAGTCTAGTCTAGTCTAGTCTAGTCTAGTCTAGTCTAGTCTAGTCTAGTCTATTCTTCATGTTTACAAATGTTATCCTTTATTCTTTGTATCCTTTATTTTACTTTCAAAAAAATTTATTGCTGTTTTTGTTGTATTGTTATTTGCTTTAATTGTTAGATAGGGAGATAGAAGAGGCAGGACACTGATTCTCCAACAAAACAACAGCTCTTTATTCTGACAGCTTGCCCTTTTATAGGGAGCTGTCAGAGGGTTCAACCAATGAGATCTAACTATTTTTCCTGCCGGAATGGCGGACCTGAGTGAAGCCTTCATACTTCGGCTTCACTCCCTTATTAATATTCAACATTAATAATCATTTGTATGGAAAGCTGATTGACCTTTTGACCTTTTTTTTTCCTATGAGGGGTCCTTGATGCTTTCTGAGCTTGATTGTTTTCTTGCAGACATTTCATTAGCCAAAATAATGTTTTTTCCTATTAAATATTCATGTGTCTCTTATGTCTTTCCATACATTCTCTGTTTTCTTTTACTTAAGTTACTCATGTTAAATCTGTCTTCACATTGGTCGTACATTTTTACCAATCTTACACCTAGGATTGTTTTTTTTTTTTTAATTCTGTAAATTTAACCCATATATTGTTAAATCTTTTCAAGATATGAGCCACAGTCTGTACCTGGAAGTATTCTGACAAACTGGATTTCACTTCCCCCTTTTCTGTTTCCTTTGATGTGATTTAACTATAAAAGAGAGGATGTGAAGCAGGAATTGGCAGTAAACAAATAATTCTCTCCACAAAACTTGATTTACCTATCTCTTTCATTATTGTGTTTATGCAGTCCAAACTTTCTATAAATCCAGATTTCTTTGATTCTCCGACTTTTGCATTCCAGTCATCAATTAGTAATACCGAGTCATCTTTTGATGTTGGATTTAGTGTTGCTTACAATTTGTTACAGAATCCCTCAGTATGTTTCACCATCATATGTGTAGCAGGTGCATGCATTTGTATAACATTGATGTTCACTGCATATCCACTAGTTCTAATATATTATCCTGTCTCAAAGTGTAGCAAACCCATATATTGTGATATCCTTTTTTTGCTGCTCATTGTTAGAATAGTCTCATGCCCTGAATAGAAATAACCATTTAATTTGATTCACCAAAATTCAACTGAACCTAAAATACAGTATCCTTTTAGTACACTTTATTTCCTCTTCAATCATTTCACTTTTGTTGTGTGCATACATCTCAGATCCCAGGTTCTAATGATGAGTCCTTCTAAACAAAAAATCCATCTCCAATAACTGTAACCAAATTTCCTTTTGGATCTGGTCCATCCATGTTCATCATACACGGTGAAAGTTTGACATTCTTCCCCAGTAACTGGAAGAGGGCCTTCTGATGTGCAAGTTTTATCATCTGTCACTCAAGCGTATTGAAATATTTTAGCTATATCCATATAATTTTCTTGGCAACAATATAGCTTTACTGTTACATTCTTCCAGTTTCATTTTGGAGAAACTTCTTCTAGATGGGTTAGACTCCCTCACATCTGTAAAGCCTACAAGCAAAATGGTTCATTCCCTGCAGTACGTTGTTTTCAATCACTTTTCTGTAGGCATTGTCAAACAATAAGTAGGATAATATAATGGCTTTAAACCATTTACAGAGGATAGTGATCAAGGATATATTTAGCTGGTGTTCATCCATGCAACCCTTTTTGAAATAACTCAGATTATGTCATTACAATGGGATTTGTTAAGTAATTTATGTCCAAGCAGTGAGCATTTCGATTCTTTAATTTGCTAAAACATGAGCATCTTTCAGGTTTAATTGATAAATTTCCTTTTTTAAAACAAAAACAAAAAAACTCCCACCTCTTTATGTTATTTAACATTTTTCATGTTTTGGTCCATTAATATATTTTCAATCGGTCAATATTTGTAGCTGCATTGCTGGCTTGTGAGAAGGACTCAGTGGTTATATATCACAAAATATTTGTGATGATAGTAAATCTGAATCTGTGTAACAATTATAGAAAAAAATAAATAATCACTCAGAATTTTAAACCAAAATCTACCAGGGTTAGCAAACTATACAACTCCCTTTCCTGTCTTGTAATATACTTGTGTTAATAATTCAAGGAAAAAACCAAACCAAATTTAATCTTGATTTTAAGAACATATTTAGAAACAAGTTACAACATTTCTAACTACATTTTGCTTCAGAAACTCACTTCTTAATATCAGTTGCTCACAGGTGGTACACAGATCTTGATTTCCAAAATGCTCAATTTATTCACATACATTTAAATATAAATTGAGACGAAAATAAATTAGTTTAATTCTATTAACTTTTCATCTGAAACAAGATACAGAGGTAAAACAGCTTAATCACAGAAGAAACTATGAATTTAGTTCTGCAGTAATTAGGTTTTTAATATATTTTAACACATTTAAGTATCCTGTAGTCTAGGCAGTCTATAGTGTTCAAATATATCTCACTGAAGTAATCTTTTATTCTACTTGGTATTATTCTAGTTTTAATATTGGTGTCAGAAAACTTTTTAAATAATTTATTTAGCCTTCATACTGGAGGTATACAAAATAGCTAATTGTCTTCACAAGATATATTAATATATAATGGAGGCTTGTAGATTTGAGCTTGATATTTTATTTTATTCTTTATTAGTGTGTTCTTTTTGTCCTGGTATTCAATAGAAAAGAAGTTCATGTCTTACAAAGTAACAATGCAACATTAATCAAGTGATCTACCATTTCTAATTGGAGATGGCTATTAATAATAATCTTACAGCTTTTTTGTTGTATCTAAATCACTCCTGGAGCAATTAAGCATGTTTTCATGTGAAGTTCAGTTAGGCATATGATAGTTTACTAAATTAGTTAGAGGTGTCATTCATACAAAGTTTTTGTTTGTATAATATGTACAGATATTGTGGCTGGTGGTTGTGTTGTGTTTTGATGTGATGTGATGCTGGCTTTCTTTTCTTTTTTAAATGTGTAGATGATTAGTGGTAGCTGTGTTTGGTAAAAACTTCAATATTATGCATCCTTGGACACAATCCAGCACACTAAGAAGCATGCATAAATCCTGTTGATCTTGAAAGCATTTAAGCTGACATGACTAGGCACTGGATTTGTTCACAGTGATCTAAACAGTAGTAGTTCAGCAGATAGCCTCCGTGGAAATACCGTGGCTTTAGTGCTGTGAAGATTGCCATCATTATAACCTTGTGACAAATTACATCATGATAGTGGATTACCATTTTGGAAATCTACTTCAGTCATATCTTCCATTAATTCCAAATGAACTGTCGTCTGAAGGAGTCCTAATATTTGGCATTGCCACTAATTCTGTTACAGATCCTGTCCAAAGCCATCAGCTCTCCATATCACTTTTTGCCACTGTTTACACCAGCAAAATATTCTGCACAAATACAGGAAAGCAGAACTTTATTGAAGGATCTCTCAAATTAGGTCATAATGATAGAGATAAAATAATAACCAAGAAAGAGCCAATATCAAAATAGGTTCAAAAGTTCCTTAGAGACTGCCATTAAATGGAAAAAGTACTTTTAAAGTGAAGAATAGTAAGATGGGTAAAATGAAAAATAAAATAGAAGATAATAAAATGAAAGGGGGAGAATCCCTTCATCCTTTCATCAAGGATGATGATACTTAAAGAAGATGGAGAGATAGTGTTGGGGGATTATTTGTTGTAGAAAGCAAATTAAAACCCAGCAATTTGAGTGAGAGATGTGAAAATAAGGAATATCATAATATCATAATGTAGAATTTTGTTTAAAAAGAAAATGAAAACAGAAGTTGAATAATAACAAGGAATAGAATTATTTCTTTTTTCAGTAAATTGGAAATAAATAATTTGTGTTAGTAAGTAATACTAACTAGTAAATTAGTGAGTTGAAATTAAGCTCAAGAGGTAAAAAGTAAGTGAAAAATAATAAAGAAAAGACATACAGCTACATGATTTTCATATGAATTGCATGATTACTACTGTTGAAATGAAGGCTTCACCATAGCCATAAACTGCCTGTTGATGGAAATAAACACTGCTTTCCAAGACAAGGCAGTTCTTTTCTCAATGATCCCCAGACTATCTTCTAGGAATTCTTCTCAGAGATTTCTCAGTCTCTTAATGTAGACTCAGTTATACTGAATGTACATTATATATTATGGAACCACTCCTGGTGAGATTGAAAGACTTTCTATTTTCCTTCCACAGAAGATGAAATGGAGAATTCTTCAGATGACATGGTCCATCATAGAAAAGTGTATTTTATTTTTGTTTATCCTCATCTCACCCTAAAAATCTTTCATGATATGTAAAATTGAGTTAAGGCTCTGTAAAGTATGTCAAGTATGACCTTCTTCCTTGTCTTCAATCTCTTTTCTAAAGCAATGTGACGGTTAAGAGTGTTTGACAGCTTCTTTCCTGAAATCCACCCATCCCCCTTACTATAGATCCAGCTGGCTGAAATGGAGGCCTTATCGCTCAATTCTGATAAGTCTTCTATCCTGCTAGGAGATGATGGAGATAGTTCCAACATTGACCAGCCAAGCCCTAAGGAAAAGGTAAATTATTTATATATAGGGACTACCTTCCTTTGAAAGAATCCATTTTTTTCAGGGAGTGGTGGGTGGTAGGTGGATGGATGGATGACAAAATTCTATGGGACTTTTTCTTAAATGTTCTGAATTAATTTACTATGCTGTATATCAAGTGTATCACATTTTTGATCACTGGGGCCACACTTTTTATTTACCTTGTTTTATTGGAATGACATTGATGGCTGCATAAAATGGGTCCATTTCACACAAGTGTGCAAAAATTGGAATCTTAAAACTATAAAGTTTTAGAGCTTTCGAGAGAGTATTAAAACTTAATACTTAAGACCATACTAGTGAAGGAAACTGCATTGCCTAAGCTCATATAGGGCCATAACAAGAGGTGCATGTTACATCCTACTTGTTTCATCATATTATTCCTGATACAGATTCCTTCATGAAACATGAAGTCCATATGTACATATGGAACATTTTCATTTTCCACCAGAACTTTTTCAATAAGGGAAGTCAATTGCTGAAATGTATAAAGCAAATTACCTCAATCAAGAGCTCTAATAAAGCTTTGATATGCATCTAGCATCTTTCCCCACAGCTCAGTTAGTGTTATCAATCCTCCATAAGCTAGCTGAAAACTAAAGCTGCATAACATAAAAGTTTATGTTCTAACTGCTGATCCCTCTCTTCTTCTATAGATTCTGTTTTGGCATGTTAAAAAAGCAATTGATTACATTCTCTGTTGGCATTTCTGTTTTACAATTCTCTTGGGAATCCACTTGCCAATCCTGAATCGCATCAGATAACTGATCTGTGGAATGACATGGAAGCTCAGTAAAATGGGACAATCTTTCTGGCTTTCTTAGGCTGTTCCTAGAGCCAAACAATCAGTTGTTTAGCAGGCCATAAGAAGCTACTTATAGAGTTACCTTCTCTGCCTGCTTCTTTTTCCCAAAAGTGGGGGGTGGGGGGAATGACAGAGTACCAAAAGCCCCAGTAACATACTTGTGCAAGATTGAAGTGTTCAAGAGGTTCTGGATAGTCATCTGATTGTACTGCCACAGAATGGCTAAAATGAAAATAATATCATGGAGAGGGAACAAAATAAAGAATTTGACAGGGCATATTCATATCATGATTAAATGCCAATGGGAATTTAATGCCCTCTGACAATGTATCAGATAGATACCTGAGCACATTTTTTCAAACTTGCAAAGTTTCCTCTTATTTAAATAATTTTGTTTCCTTTTTACGAAGTTTCATGAGACAAATATCTTTATTCTGACTAGGATGGTGAAGACAGCCCTAATTCTACAAGGAATACAAACGTGGAAGAATGTCTCTTCCCTTTAACAAATACAGGATCTTCTCTGCCTCCAGAAAGCTACCAGTATGAAATGGAAAAAATCCCTTTCAGTCGAGCTCAGTCTTGGCTAAATAATGAGACCAATGAAGGTAGGCAATGCCACATAGTTGACCTGAACTAATATGGTACCCAACAGAGATAGTTACTTTTTTAAAGAGCTCTTTCATGTTAATGGGATGTATTCAGCTATAGGCATGAAAAAATGCATCAGTTATAAACAATATAGTTATGAATAAATTGATGTTTTCCAAAGGTTTTTTTTTCACTCACTGATCTAGGAATAGAAAATGGTACTGTATACAGATATCATTTAACACAATACCTCAGCCTTTTTCAATTGGGTATATTATTCCAAATGTGTCCAATATTTTCATCACGGACAGTAGCTAGGAGACATATCTGAAAGACACAGAGTTAGAAACTCTGCAATATGTTTCATATGTTATCTGTAGTCAAGGAAACTGTATTGTAAAAGGCAAGTATTAACTTCGTAATTTTGTACGTTTGAAGTATCATAATGTTTTCTTTCCCATATGTTCATCTGTGTTTTAAGGGTTCTCTTAACTCAGTGCCTAAACTCACCCTTCTGATCATTCTAGTGTTAATTTGTTTATTTTTCCATTGTTTTTCAAAAATCATGAGGGCAGCATAGATAGCTCCTGCCTCTTATAATAATCCTATGAATTAAGTTATTGTGAGACATAATGACTAGAACAACTTTTAAGCCTCATGAAAAGGTAGCTAGAATTACTTTACATTTTAAAACCAAAGAGATTTCAAAGTGAAACCCTGATGTATGTGAAGAAAAGCCTGAAACATTGCCAAAATCCCTCATGCTGCTTGACTGGCAAGTGCTGATTTGTCTAATACTATAGACCACGCTCAAATTATTGACTGTGTTCTCTTAAGGAAAATTATCCAAGGAACAGGAAACATGTTAGCCAACATGTTAGATGTGCCAACCAAGAGCAAAATGAATTAGTGCTTCCTAAACAGCTACCAAAGAAAGAGGCTGGAGTTGTAAGGGAACAAGATGCATGATGCATGATTGCAAGTAGTTTGATTTTCCCATTGAACATAACTTAAATTGACTTTTTAGATTTCTGCCTGATAAAAAAACTTGAAAGTGGAAACTTAATTTCTTCTCTTTTATGTCTTTCTCCTGATTTTACCAAATCCCTCTTGTTTTCTGGACCCCATTCTCTGTTGCCAGTTGAAACTGAGTTTTTTCTCCCAGATGTTTCTGCTAAACTGCCAAGTCAAGAGAAAGTATCTTGTCCAGAGAAGCTTCCTAAAATCTCTCTGCAAGCTTCCTGGGCCTCACTGCAATCTCCAAATGTAAACTCCTCACTTATTCACCAGGTAATGTTCCTATAATGACTTTGTCTCCCCTATGTCCACCAGGGTTGAACCATACATAGACATGAGGAAAGTGCTTCAGGAGAAAAAATTGATAAACTTTGTGTTCTCCATTTAACACAAATTTCAGATGCATACCAAATTATGCAATCCAGGTTAAAAAATGGATTTTATTTGTTCAACTTGTATGCCGCCTTTCTCCGAAGACTCAAGGCGGCTGAGTTATATGGATGAGTCCCATATAACATTGGGAGCCTTCTAATTAAACCTATGTATTCTAATAACCAAGAGGCCTGGCTATTAAATAAACCTACAGTGAGAGTGTGAGCGGACCTTATATCTGAAATGTCTTTTTAAGACAGATTGATGGAAGATCAGTCTATTTATGGCTAATATTGGGTGTGAGAAGAGACACCAATGAAATGTTTTAGTCAACCAGGTTCCTTGCAATGATGTTAATACACTATTGTTCTCAGCTGATATTGTTGACTGACAGTTAAGACAGCTAAGAATCAGAACTGTGTCCTCATACTAACTGGTTAGTGCTGCCAGATGAAAGTGGCAAACTTTTGTTAGTTGATGTATAACGTTGCAATTGATGCCTTCCTCCTTGTCTGAATATGAAGACTGACTTCGTTTGTTTGTTATTTCTTGGCCTTGCAGACCACAGAGAGTGACACTTCCCTTGACGATGGCAGGAGCAATAGCTCAGAAGGAAGCTTGCAGACCACACTGGAAGACAGTTTAAACCTTAGTGACTCACCCCAGTGTACCCTAGATCTCCCGGTCGTATTATGCCCAGTGCCAGCAGCCACCCAAAAAGCTTTGGTGGTCCCGCTTTCCCCTGCCTCCCGAAGGCAAAGCATAAGGGGCCGTGGCATCTTCACTCTCCAGAACATCAGGAGGCACCAGCGGAGCCACAGCAGTGGAGGAAGCACTAGCCCAGGTTGTACTTATCATGATTCCATGGACCCTTCTGATGAAGAAGGGATAGGGAGCAGCCTAAGGGGAGGAGGCAACAGCAGTGAGCAGTCAGAGACCCTCAGCAGTTTCTCTCTGACTTCTCTCTTTTCACCACCTCCTCCATCTCAAGCTCTGGCACTTGTGAAGAAGTGCAACAGCACCAGCAGTCTCCATGCCAACTCTTCTTCACGGAGTTCTGCAGCAAATGAAGCCAAGCAGTTCTACTCAGTTGACCCAAGGGGTTTTTTATCCATGCCATCTTGGGTGACAGACTTCTGCAAGAACAGCCCTTCTCCGAGAGAGGGTGATGTACCAGAGGGCTTAGACAAAATTGGGACTCCAGACCACAGCCCCCCAGTTCCTTCTGAGTTGCAGCTGGGGACCAGAGTCAGCAAGAGACATAGATGAGTCTCCCTGCGGCTGGGAGGAAGGATGAAATGTGAAAGAGGCTTGTTCTGGTTGCCACTTCCTAACAGCAGTTCCCAATGAGAGGACTGTGGAAAGGGAAAAAAGCAACCACACAAAATATAAATATGTATGTCTGTATGTGTGCACGTGTGTATGTGTGTCCGCTTGTGTGTATGTGTGGAAAACAAGACTTTTGTACCATACCTCAGAGACTTGAGAGAGTGATAGCAATATGAGAACATCCCACATTTGCAGGGTGCCACTACCTCTGCAAAGATGACAGTGGGACAAAGTTAAGAGGGTGAAGAAGACACTCCAACCAAATAACTAGCTGGCTGGATGCAGCTATTTAGCCCTCTGCATATACAAATATATATGTACAGATATATAGAATGATTTATTTATTTTTTTTACAGAGAGCTTAGGACTTCCAGAAAGTGCTAAGTATGAAAAGGGCAGGGTCTTGGGAAAAATAACTTTAAAATGAAATGGGGAATCCAGCCAGATTTTTAGGGCTTGGGTATCTCTTTCAAGCAAAATTGCATAATTCATGTTGTGTTTTGTGGGGTGGTGATGGTGGTGGTAGTAAAAACTATGATCCCATCGTGGTGGGAGGGTGGGGAGCTTGTTATATGAAGATACTCTTTGGAGATACTTCGAGGGGGTGCAACAGCATCTGAAGCTCAGCTTTGTTAAACTCCTCAGGTAGCATCAGTGAAATTCTCAGACTCCTTAAATGTGAACACATCCAACAGAAAAGTCGATGTGGGCTCTGTAGAATTGAAAGCTCTAGGTGGCCTTCCCCAGTAAGGACACCCTTGGGAAGTTTTAGTTGCCGGAGGGTAATGAGAAGAACCAGAAGGCAAAAGCAGAAGCCACATGGCAAATTACTCGGTGCTCTGATTTTCTTTGATTGTGCTTTGTTTGTTTGTTCGTTTGTTTGGGGGAGGATTTGGAAAGAAAGCTATGTGGGGAAAACCACTTTGTACTGCTTAGGGATCGGGATTTGTAGTTTATTTTGTTTACTATTCAATATTTGTGGGGGGAAAAATCTATTTTAGAAGCCCAGAGGTGCAAAAACCATCTCTAAAGAAAGGTATGCTATTTTTTACAAATATATTGAAAGAAAAAAAAAAAAGCTAGAGAATGAGGAAGAAGTGTAACAAGCTCTTTGTATCCAACATAGGCCTGTTATTTTGATCCTTCCAGAACCATTTCTATGTTTCCATAAGAAAAGAACACAATAATGCCTTTCATGGCTTTGTTAGCTAAGTTAAGGGGGTGTCCCTTCAATAGTGTCAGATGAGATGCCTCCAGCCATTCTAAAAATGTAAAGCAATTGATTAGCATTTTTTTTTTACTGATAATCAGGCCAAGCTGCATGTCATGATTTGACACTGCATGTAACTTTTTGAAATTATAGATAATTGCTAGAATGGGAGAAGCAAGACTGGAACCATAACATAAAAGGAGGAAAAATAAATCCAAAAATCTCTGTCAAATCCATTACTAGATTGGGGGGGCAGTGACTTTTGCACTACATTCATGACAAAAATTCCATTTCACACTTGTGGGATCTGCTATTTGAAATGAAAAGGAAATTAGCATCAGTAAGAGCTTCTCTTCTAAGCCAAGCAATGTTTGATTAATAGGGTGGCACTGGAGAAAATATTGTTCTCCCAGTTATGATCCAGCTGCTATTTTCTCTTTTAGAATAACAGCAAACTGTCTATTTAATGTCACGTGTTATTTGGCCTTAAGTGAGCATGTGTATGCATGGCTGTATATGGAGGATGGAGTGCTAGAGGCAGAAGACTGGATAGCTGAAGCTTGCTCAGTTATATGGCATCTGGGATCATTCTCACAATAAACTTCTTTCCCTGTTATAAACCACATTTTCAGCAATTCAGTCACTTTCAAGATACCTTTTTATCATAATGTTTCCATTATTAGCCAAGCCATCAAGCAGAAAGCCTGGCTTCTGAAAATACTATCATTTTCTATTTCAAGGCAAGAATGGAACAATCATAGGTACAATTCCCGAATTATTTTGTTATGACACCCCACCCCACCCCAAAAAATCTGGCAATTTAAATGACTTGGGCTGGTCTATGATATACAGAAATGGGCAGTTGAAGGTTTTCCGTTGCATGAAAATATTCTATTTCGGTAGTTTATTGCTGTAGATTGAAGTACTCTTAAAGACAGATCCAGGCTGAAAGTTGTCAACTGATTTAAAGTGCTCTGGGAAAAAATGTTAACAGGAAATCTCATTTCCTTGAAACTTGCTCATCTTCCACGAGAGACTCAGTCCATATTCCAAGATTGGAAAGGTGTGGGGGGGGAGGGGAGAGGGAGACTTCTTCCTGGAACTGAAGTATATCTTTTCCCTGAAAAATTGAGTCAGTCTCAGTTGATTTAATAACCCACCTTTACATATTTGGGCTCAGCATCAAGAGCCTTTCAACATTAAGGACTTTAGCAGAGAATTTTAGAAGACATGGCAATGCTGAGTTGTACATCAGAAGGCTGCTTTGCTTTTAGTGTAATGAATCAATGAATACCAAATATGTTACAATAGGTAGGAGATGAAATCCTGATGAATGCATCTCTTGAAAAGTAATGTGTGTGTTTTTAGAGAGTACAAAACTAAAATGAAGAGTGACTAATGCAGAAAAGAAGGAAGGAGTTCCTGACTGCTTCAGAGAAGGATCAAGGTCGTCATTAATAAAGCAATAATAGTCCTCATTTTAAATGTTTTGTGTGTGCGTCTGTGTGTGCGTGCACACAGGCACATTAGCTTGTAGCATGCTTTCTGCTTGTTCTTTATGAAGCAGAAATGATGGGTGAAAAAAGCAGACCTCTTAAATGTTTTTTGAAAGGACAAGGAAGCCATCCATATCAACGCATAGTAAAAAAAACTGAACTGAGCTTTGGCACTACTCCATCTGCAGACCCAGTTATTTCTGTTTATCATAACTGTGTGACTATTTGCAGTTATGGAAAAGCAGTTAAATGATAACTTTAACAGCAATGCAGAAATCAACCAAGGCACTGCAGTTTTAGTCTGCCAGCCACAAGAGCTGTGTAAATCTTTTCCAATAGGTAGATAGGAATTTCATGTTCTGGTTGGATCTTGTCTGCTCAAATGTATGGGAATGTAAGTTATATAACTAATATAACTTTCTCATTTGTATGTGTTGCCAGCATTGTTCCAGGTTGTCATGATGTGAGCTGAATGTTTGACATTGAATTTGTGCTTAATTGTACTTGAAGAGTCGAGAGACCAAAAAGAAAACTTACATGCCTAGAAAGTGTTTGCACAGTCTGTGATTTGGACAAATTTAGCCTTAAAAAGATAGTAAGATAGTTATGAAAAGGAGCTGGGAGCTTGTGTAGGATTAGAAGTGACCAAAACTCTGAAGATTTTCACAAGAGAAGAGGGACAGCAACTCCTCCCTGACCACAATTTTGTCCCTGCATCAGGTTTATACTGCAATTTTTATTTTGACTGGACAGTATATAATTTTATGTAATATGTTATTTATAGAGCCCTAAAAGTGACCTACAGACAGTATGACAACTTTGAAATGTGTATCACTATAGAGTTCAATCCTATGTATGTTTTATCAAATTTAAGTTTCATTCTCCAACAGTGTTGGGGTGATAGGTCTCCAACATTCATGTTTGAGAAAACATTGTCTTACAATTTTGGGCAGGTTATATTTAAGAACACAAAATTAAATTATTTTCTGCTAAAGTTCTAGGTTGGATTACATTGAAAAAAAGAACAACCTTGAATTAAAGAATAGTAGCATCTGATGATGTTAATATAAAATTATATTCCTAACAACAAGAAGGTGCAGATAAGCCTAGATTTAGCCACAGATGCATTGTAATCTGATGCAATTTACAGTATGAAGTAATATTCTGTTAGGATATTATTAGCTGTGTAAAATTACACAATGGCATTCCAAGAACTGATCACCCAACAACTATCTTAGCATCAATCATATCACATAAGAAATTAGAGAAGCACTTTGCTGATACCAGGGGCCAATTCATCTTCAGGGATATAATTCTAGATACCAATTCATACTTTAATCATACCAAATTTCTTCAGAGAATACATGTAGAGTTCACAGCTGATCTTAAACCATATGGAAAATCATAAAAGAAGGAGGTGTCCTCCTGAATAATCATTAGCATGAAAGTGCTACAACACATTGAATTCTGGCTTCCAATTGATATGGAACTGACATATATACAGTAGTGTTTCTCATTGTAGACAAGTCTTCTGTAATATGAGGACCAGATCTTTAGCGTAACTTGGAGAAGGGAGAGAATACTTGCTATACTTTAGGCATTGAGCTCTACATGTGATCAAGCATCTAAATTGATCCCTCCTGATGACCATTTAGTGTTCTAGGCCACAGTTTCTCTGTGATTTCTGGATAGGATATTTTAATCTCATCACAACAACAACAACAAAAGACTTCTTCATCTATGTCACATATACATGCTTCAACATTCTGACCAGTTTCATACTAACATGTATTTCAAGAAGCATTTTTCTGATGTTAGTAGGCTTGAATCAAATTGAGCAAATTCTGTGATTCTGGACTCATCTCCTTTGTGTTTGCATGTGTGTCTGTGTTTTCAGACACTTTAATCACTTACTTTAAACTTTTAGAAGTAGGGGTTGTTTCCATCAGAAAGTTGCAAGAGGATTCTGTTTGTGATCCAAAGATGCTTAGCCAGTTGTCTAGATTTAAAGCGAATTTTTCCTTACTCACAAATATATACAAGATTGCCTTCTTAGTTTAGTGTGTGCCTATGCGGCAGATGTCTTGAATTACAATGCAGGAAATGAATAGAACTAATTGAAAAAATTAATAATTTCGGTTGTGAACTGTAGAATGTATGCTGGCCTTTGTTGCAGGTAATATTTATTTATTTTTATTTTTTAAAGGTGCTACTGCTTATTCATGACAATAGAAGTCCCAAGTAATTTGCATTATATTGTATATAATTTGAACACATGACAGCAGAGACACCTTCATGTCATCAACTACATCCCACTCTTCCTTCAAAAACTGGATTCTTTTTGCTTATGTTTTATTTCACTACACAAGCAAAGCAACAAAAAAAAAATCTGGCTTAGCCTAGGAAAGGCTGGTTACTATGGCAACTGAAGACGAAGTTATCTTTAGAGAATATTTTGTCTCTTGCTTTTAATTATTTACTAATGGTTTTGAAGAAAAAAGAGGAAATATCTATTCTTCCCAGAGAGAAGTTATTAAAATGCAACAAAATTGGCTCTTTGTGCATATTAGCTTAGAACAAGGCTTCTATGCCATATTTGAGAATTGGGTGTGGGGGGAAAAATCTGTTTATACCTGGTTGGTTTTATTTTCTTCAGTGGCTCTTTAGTTCAGTCCCTTTAATAGGGAGTCCCAGAAAATCTCTGCAGCCCCTCTCTGTTTCTGTGTTCATTTTAGAATCTCTTCAATCACAGAAACCTCAAAAGGAGGAAGTCTCATTGCAATTCTTCCTCAGTAAATGAAATATTTAAAAAATATCACAAGAGACAATTGCACTTTGTGTAGAAAGTTTTGAAGATTAAAGTATTGCCTTTTGACAAAAATTATTGTAATCTGGTGTCATTTTTTTCCTGCTCTTCAGAGGATGGCGATTTGCTTCAGTTCCACTGGAGTGGGGCACTTAGTAGAAATCCGGGAATTAATGGCTCTACTACTCAAACTGCAGAAGGGAGGGAGGCGTGAGTTTTTCCAACATATTAACAATTGAAATAAGTTGTCTGAAGGTGGCTTTTTTGGGATTAGAGAACGTTAGATAGCAGAGTCTATCAGTTTTTGATGGGGATTGAACAGCTGAACCAGAAGCAACATTTTAAAAGCTCAGCTACCTTCTTTTTTTGTTTTCCTGGCCATTTATAAGCCCTAAAAGTTACAAAGAAAGCTATCAAGCAATTACCATGGATAGTTTTAACATGAATAAAGCAGATGCAAGCATGCCAAACTCAAGCTCATAAATTGAGCAAAATCCATATGCATGTGGAATAAACATAGGAAGTAGGGAGGACTCCTTTCAGTGACTGCAAAAATTTTAAAAAGGATGTTAACCCTAATGTTTTTAGTGGAATGATTCTTTAGCTCCTATTTAGCTCAGTGAATAGTGAATATTTTCTGCATTAAGGTAAGAAACGTTTAACATCTTTCACATTTCAATTTTTTAGGTCTTTGGACTTTTCAACACTGGGTCACACCTTTGATTTTGAACTGAATATTTTTGCTTTCAATCTATAAAATAGTTCTATAAAAGAGATAAAATACGAGGAACAGCAAAACATTGAATCTGACACTTTGAATGGATGTACATTGTGTAGATGATTGCTGATGAGGAAATTCCAGCATGGAGTTTGGTGATGAATTTCTTAAGGCCTACTGAATCAATAAGGAGCTGTACTTCCAGTATCAAGTCCATCTAAATCAAAAAGAGGTGCATTTCACTCTTGTCTTAATAAGAGAATAGTCAAATATTTACTCCAGAAAAATGAAAAACGAATGCACTTGCCCATTATTAAGGAATGGAAGGCATTAATTTCTTATGATGCATTTATCTTTCTCCTATTTTACTTTGACTAACCATTTCCTTGAGTAGCAACATAGATCTCTGTTATGAGTTGTCATGGGTTAAAGATGGAAGCAGCAATGGAAGAATCAATCCATTTCATTTCTTAATTTTTCATTTTATCCAATCTTAAATGTTTTCTGAATGGTTAAAACTTTTTATCCATATGGTTGCACAGATTTTATTTACAAAATATGCAAGCATTTCTGAATGTCATGTACTTCAGAACATTATTTACATTAATAATTATTTCTTTCTATATTCACCCCAATAGACATATTTTAACAATTTTTTTAACTGAAGAATTACATCATAAATTTAAAGAACTGAATTGTTAAGGATAAATAGTAATTACTCCCCATTTATTTGGAGATAGCATATTCAGATTGCTTTTGCAAGAACCTACAGCTTTACTGTTACCTTGCTTTTCTTTTTTCTTCTATAAGAATTGTCAGACTAAACCTACCTTTTTCTACTGGAAAACTAATTTTTTTAAAATCTTCCAGATACTATTGAACAAAAACCATTTTTTTCAACTCTGTAGTTATTTTGAGAATATCTTGTGCATTAAAGCCAAATTCAGCATCTTCACCCTTTTCTATCAGGCTCATAGCATTCTACCACATTGTTTAATGTTGCATTTGTTAAATTTCCCAATTTTAACTCTAGCAGAAATAAACTGATTAGCAAATGTTGTGTGAGATTTTCTCCCTTTATATGGGCTCTCCCCATTTGCAACTGACAACAAAACAAACACACCCTAGAAACACACACACACACACCATATTCTGTGATGTTCCCATGAACTCATTTCTAGTCCATGAGTCAAACAGGCCTCGGTTATCCCTAGCTGTGGAATTGTTGAAACAGTGTTTTCCCCCTTAAACCAATAGCATGTAACAGCTACAAAGTGTATAAAATCTGTTCTGCTCTGGCACACGTTATGTCAAGTGATGCTTGGCAAATGGATCAAAGCCACTAGTATTGATTGTTACAGACAGGTAAGCCTCCTTCCATCTGGGCTCCAGTCAGCCTCAAGTGTCTACTTCCATATAGAACTGTTACAATAGTGCTGTACCAATGGTCTATCAGAACTCTGCAGGACTGCAAGACTGATAGGCAGCTGTACTGACTCAAATAGCAATATAGTGAGTTAAATGAGTGTTGTTGTTGTTGTTTTGTCGGGGCAACCTGGTTTATCCAATTATGGGATGGAGCATACTGCTTCCGTTTTCGCCTTTCAGCACCAATCCAGAAGTCTTCACAGGCAGTCTTTATCGGTAAAACATAAATTTAACAGTGAGCTAAATGACACAACAGAATAATATAATATTAAAATAATGGGAGCCAATATTTCCAGATGAGTTTGTTGGTCTGTATTGTTTATAGACAGAGTTAAAACAAGCAGAACAAACACTTTTTCTTCAGAATAGAACACAGAGAAGTTTGGAAATCCTACAAAAAGAAAGGCAGGACAGGACAGAAAACAACGAAAAAAGCAGTCCTAAGGAAAAGGCTGCTTGTGGTTCATTTCCCTCTGTGATACCAATCATTTTTATTCTCTTTTTTAACTTTATCCAACTCAGGTTATGACAGACTAGAATGTTGTAAAAGGACACATGAAGAACTTAATCTAGAGATGATGGATAGAATCTTCTCTGCCCCACTCCCACTGCATTGCTGTGACAGTTTTCTCTGCCAGCGGAGAATGTGCTGAAATGGGAGAGCAGCCAAGCCAGAGGACTCACCAATCCATCTCCCTACCACGAGCTGTATGCATAAAATCAGGACAGCGCTGTTAGCAGGGAGTGGCAAAAGTAGGAAAGAGACTAGGAATAAGAGCTGTACATTTCATGGCACTTTAGTTTTCTGCCACATCAAGGACGAATAACATTTTTGCAATTGAAGCTATCTGGGCTAGCCAAACCAAAGTGCTTAGTGTTTGTGACACTGAGTTAATAATTACAGAACTAATAAAAGACTTAGGTTATGTGGCATAGTACATGTATAGTCCTTGGATTCTGCCTTGATATGTAGGAGCATTGGTACACATCTCTATTTTAAAATAGCCTGCCAGTTACAAACTGTAATCACATTGAAGTGGCTAATGTGTCAATGTCAGTGATTAGAATTTGCAGTGATATTTGCAAAGAAGCAAGAAACTGTGTGGAATTAAAGAACTCAGATTTGTGTCGGCCTATTATCAGCTCTTTACCAGCTTTCAGCTGCTTTGCCTTTGTTGCCTCATTTCAGTCCTTTTCATGGGAAATGGAAAAGGCTGAATCACATCTTAAGCAAACAGCACCCATACACTGATATTAGAAGCATTTATTTGTTTTCAGAATGCATGGAAACCAAGCATTGACAGGGATTTAGGATGGCTCAGCCACGTGAGTTTTATTGCAGTTGATAAGTATCCTCACATTGAGACGGTGTCATGGACTAAAGATCCCTATTTCAGCAGCTGTTGGATTGGCACTAGAAAGACCCAGGTTCAAATGCAATTCCAGATGCAGAAGTTTGCTTGGGTGACATTGGAGCTACTCTCAACCCAAACTTCCCACAAATTTGTTATGGGGATAATGGAATCAGGGACAATATGCATATTGCCTTAAGCTCTTGAACAAAATGTGGAATATAAATATGTATGTTTTGTACAGATGGAAGCCAAAAATATACTAACATTTGAAAGATAATGCTAAGTTTTTCAGAATGGTGCAGAGTTGGGATGTCTCACCCTGTGAGATGTGAGATCAAAAATCCAAGTGGTGATTGACTTGTGATTGAACTGTGTTGCCAAGCCATCATAAGAAGACAAAGTGCTTTTTTTATTAGTGGGCACAATTCTATACAGCTACAAAACTTGCATAATCATTGTGGAGGAGATTTTGGTATGGAAAGGAGGCTGCTGAAGAAAGAACAAGAAGTGCTATTGCACAAAGCAAGGTGTGTTCCCAGAATGTTGAATGCCCACAGTGCTTACTAAAGAATTGGAAATAATTCTGAGGTATTTATATAGAAAATGTGAACTATGGAAATAACCTCAGCCCCACTTACAATGCTGGTGGCATTTTGATTTAAATCACTGTAGCAACCTGATGCCCTGCATGCAATTTTAGACTTCCAGTGGTGTGGCAAGAAACTGTGAGAATTTGAGGCAAAATATCTGGAAGATGCAGATTAGATTACATTTAAGTACCATCAGTTAAAAAAAAAAACCAATTTAGATTATTGATGGATTTCCCATTTGAAATTCATATATTTCCTGAATAAGCATGTGTTCTTAGTGGTTTCTCAAAAATATTAGGAGAGATTAGTCTGAAGTTATACTGGATTTTTTTATTAAACTTTCTGGCCATGTGGCTGTTTGGCTATTTTTAACTGTATGGTGACACTTAATCTTATTTGAAGGTTGCATCCAGAACATTTCAGATACAGTGAAAGGGATTAACAGTTATTTGGCAAAAATTGTCTCTCCATGAGGTGGAAAGTTACAGTTCATATGTTTTGATTATCAGAGTTATAAAAATAGCCATAAATATTCATACAATAAGAACTGAACAAATTGCAGACAGAGCTCAAAAGTGCATAACTAAAAATATAAAAATGATTCATATGGGCTCATAGGCTGCATGATCCCTTAGCCCTCAGGAGCTATATCAGCCTGTATTTGGAGAATGGAAGCAGTAGATGAGGCTCTGAACACATTCTACACCCAGCACCTCTGCTGATTGATTGATTGATTGATATGCTGCCCATTTTACTATTGAGCGACTCTGGGCAACTTATATAAAGCCAATCTTCTTTGCATTCTCTTGCTTGAAAATATATACGTTGCATTTGCAATCATGCAGTCTCACCTTTTTTAATCTACACAAGCTTCACTGCTGAGAAAGTTGATAAGTCAGTCAAAGCTATCCAGTTAAATCTATTGGGATTTTGAATCTTAGTCTTCTAATTCCAGTCCAAAATCGCAACTATTATATCATAGGGATT